ATTCAACTTTTAAGTTTTCGTTTTCTTGAAGTAAATTATCTATTTCATTATTTGCAGTCAGTAACTTCGCATCCATTTCGCATATTCGATCGTTAAGTATCTCACAGCACCGGTTAGTGCCATCTATTGATGTATTTGGTAGACTCTGTATCGTTGTTTCAAATAACGAGCCAGTAGAAAGATTTGATATATCATGATACGACAAAGATTTTCGCTTAGAACGCAGTGTAACGTTTTCAAACTCCATTTTCAAATCTATTACTTTAAAAAAAAAAAAAACACAAAAACAACAAGCCGCCGCTGAATTAGATCTCGCGACTTGCGATTGAAAGGGGCCCCGTTATCGCTATCGACTATCTAAGGCTTTTAGACGATCAACTGAAATTAGAGATCCCTTTCCTCGCAAGATGTATTTGAATTCAAGCAAGTCGTTATGTATGAGTCATGGTGCAAAAATGTTCTCACAACATAGCTTAATTTACTTTTTCCAAAATTGTTTATTTGGTTCACAACTTATCACTTTATTTCAGCACTACTTTCTTCAGATTATTTATAGTTTATTAACTGTCATTTATCACTTTTTCACACTGAGAGTACTGTTTAATTTTTATCACGCTGTTTTTTTGCTGAATTCTTATTTTATTCAAAAGATAACATTCACACTAAATAATTGGTTTGAAATCTATCCGCTAATGTAAAATAATGAGTATTTAAAGCACATTTATTGTTTTTAAAACTTATATTTTTACAGAGCTCTCTGAGATAACTTGTTATTGGCAACAGCGCCATCTGATCTAATTCGATCTTCGATTACAAAAAAAGAATTTTCCAAAGCGGTTTATAAATGAAATAGTTTTAAGGTAACAAACATGAAAGTAATAAATGCGTAACAAACATTTTTTTGTAGTAATGTTTTGTAATCTCATTTGTTACTCTCTTGTGCACATATCTCTGTAACAACACACAAACACCCAACAAATATCTTGAAAGAATAAAACAAGGTCAATACCTGATTAGATTTGTGAAATAGTTATTTTCTAACTCCTAAAGATTAAGGATCTTTCCATCATCATCTCAGCAACATGACATAATGACTACTAAACGCAAATACCTGTAAAGCTAGAGAAATAAGCTAAAACACGTTGTCGGGCTGTAAAATTTGAGGGTTTCCCTCAATTTCTCTAGGATCCCATCATCAGATCCTGATTTGGTGGTAATGGAATGACCTCGAGAGCATACCCTTTGGATTACAAAAATAATTTTGAAAATCGGTCCTCAAAACAGACGAATTGATAACCTCTTTGTATTTTGGAAGTCGTTTAAAAAATAATAGATTGATATTTTAACGCATTTCGATGTCGTGATACGACCATTATAATAATCTCTAAGTTATGTTTTGTAAAAAGATATTGTAAGATTTTTTGCTATTTTTCGTAGACTGTTTGTAAGCAATAATTATTATTTATGGAGATGCCAATAAATACTCAATTCTCAATTACGGATAGCATCTGTCCGGTTTTAGCAGAATATGTTTAGCTTTTTTTGGGTTATGTCTGGCCTGTCCGGCTCTTTTTCAATAATAATAATAACCTCACACATGTTACACACGGCTGTCTGGTCCCAAACTAGGGAGAGCTTGTACTATGGTAACCAAACATAACTATATACTTCTAAATACACACATATAATATACTAGCGATCCGCAGCGGCTTCGCACGGGTGCAATATAAATACTACTTATGTGGTGTCGGTGTGGAGTAATTAATTATACTATTATTATGATAGGACTACACTACAGGACATCTTTAAATGGAATAGTTATAATATGGCCGCTGCCACCCGGGACGGACCCTGCATTTTAAACCTCTAATATCTTCTAAAATATCTGTACAGAGCCATTTTAATCTACATTAAATACACAACGTATCTAACGTATTTGATTGGATGAGGAATAATAATTTATTGTTTAAAATAGCTTCGTAAATAAGCCATTATTTTTTGTAATATTTAAAAGATAAAAATGGTTACTGTGGGTTGTCCTTAGGAAATAGACACATATAATTTCGGACTTTTTTGTAGATCTTTTTAAGATATACAATTCCATAATAAATTATTTTGATCTTTTTCATAAGGTTTAGCCAGCGTTTGTAATGTAAGCATACAAAAACATGTTTATTAACACAAATCTTTGAAATCCTGGGATTTTCACCACTATAATATGAATGTATTGTACATTTAAACCTTCCTCTTGAATCACTAGCGTACAACACAAAAAAGCGACTTTATTTTATACTGTTTAAAGATATATTACACCCCGACACAGAACAAATTATAGTTTTCATCACATAAATATTTGTCCTGGTTGGGAGTCGAACCCACGACCTCTGGCATAGCAGTCAGGATCGCTAACCATTAATCCAAAATTAATTCTAGGGTCAAACAAATATCTAGATAGAATAGGTTCTAGGTATAACTTTTAAGAGATTTGAGAAAAAAATAATGTAAGAATGCATCTGTAATATTTTGTAAATCGTAGACGCAACTTTAACTTCTCTACGCCAATTTGTCGGAGCGCTAGTGACGATGAAAATTAAATTAACTAATCATAGGAGGCTATTCATTGGTGCAAACGTCTGGTGCAAACTTGCGGATATTTAAATGATATTTCCACGGATATTTCAAACGTAGTCTTTTTTTTGTAAGTTTACAATAATTTTGGTACTGTTCTGTGTTCTGATTACGAATCTATAAACATTGTTTGTTAAGCTTTTTTGATTTTTAATAAATCTCGATAAATATACGAGAGGGATTGTTGGTAATTCCCAAAATAATACCAAATAACTCCATATTTTTAAATGCAAATGGTTTTACTAACTTTGACTTTTTCTTTCATTACAGGCTCATTGATGAATAAAATATGGTCCGTCATTATAAAATAAACGCAGGACATCCGTTGTGATAAATACACATATCAAAATAGTCGAAGCAACATGTACGGTTTGTAACTTTTGAACGTTTTTGTACTATTGTAATATATTTATATTTCGTTTGTAAATAATAACTAAACTTTCTTTGATGCATTAGTGACTTAAGCAACAAAATCCTTCATTCAGTTGTTCATTTAATCTCAATAATTAACAATCTGTAAAACGTGTTTAAATGAAATTTAACTTCATGTTTTACAAAATTAAATAACGACATTTTTTTTATTCATGGTCGGCAAAGATTTTTCATTGAATTTATAAGATTGTTTATCTGATCCTGCGGCAATCTCAATTAACCCCATTCTACGGTTGTGTTTTTCAAGTGTTTTTTCAACAAACTTGTTCTTCTCAAGTAAAACTTCTTAAACGGCCATTCGATAAAGGATTTGTCAAGGAGAATTACCTAAAGACAAATGAAAGCTTTTTAACTCGAAAGAGAGAAGTAAGACAGTAGAAAGACAAAGGAGATGGAAGATAAAAAGAAGAAGCAAATGACAGAATCTCTAACTATAGTTTTAGGTTAGCTCTACAAAAGCTAGCACTCCGAATCACCTAGTGTAAACTTTTTAAATTATTTATTGTTGATATCTTTCATGCATTTCAACATTAAAATAAACTCTTTGTTTAATTGTGCCATGGCAATCGTTACCTTAGTAGGTCAACAATCGCTTGGTCGAGCAGTTGTCTCACTGTTTTCATACGCTGTCTCGTTCATATTAATATGGAATGTAATTAATTATTTATTGTTATTTTCTCCGTATACCCATTCCTAAGTCTCTTTTCAATGAAAATTAATAAATAACTAACTAAGTAACTTTGTTTTTAGAAACACTTGAGTCAAAAATTATCACTTGTAAAGTTACCAATACACAATAACAATGCTGTTTTATGAAACTGCTTAAACTTCTCAAAACTTAACATTCTCGTGTTTGCAAATCGATCTTATATTCATGTTTACTTCATGTCAATATAATTAAATCCTGTACAAATTTAAAACGAATAAATAATATCATTAGTATTTTGAAACAACTTAAAAATCACTTTCTTTCTTTAGTTTTCTGTTAGACTTCGTAGACTACGTATGTATTTTTTTTAATGTAGTTATGTTCACCAATTACTCCGTCACTTGTCAAAAGACAAAAGAACTGTCAAAAGAAATAAAAGTACTCTGATAAATTATCAAAATTCTTTTGTTTCTTATTATAGGTATTTCGGAATGCAATTTTTCCACACAACTTTTTAAGAGAGATACGCAAATTGATATAGGTATACGAGAATAAAGAGTAAATTCTTTTGTTTCTTCTAATAGGTACCTATTGTGGAATGATTTAAGAAATTAGTATTTTTCAGACAACTTTTTTTCAGTAATGCACTTATAATATAAATACGAAACTTATTTATTATTAATAATATTCATTTTTATACCGTACATGAGAGGATGAAAAATATTCAATGTTATTAATATGAGATAAATTTCAATTCATATTATTTGTTACGTACCTATTGATTAATAATTACCTTGTATTTAATTACACCATTAAACGCTGTAATTAATGCAGAAAATAAAAAATAGAGTCATACTATGAAGCATTAAGTTATTGACTGAGATACAGACGTGTTGAGCTTTTTCAGGTAGAGATGCAGAATGTTAATTAGATATAATTCTCCTACTGATATTTTTTTATTTATACGTTAAACATATTCACTTAGATTATTTATTAATCTTAACATAGTCATTCAAATTCAAGTACGTAGTAGGTATTGATCATTGTAAACTAGTTTTTTTTTTTAAATTGTAGATCTAAGTTATAGAAAGTTAAATAATTATTTAAGTGCATAGAATAATTATATACAAATAAAGCAGTCCTACTCATAAATACCACTCCACTTTTTTTTTTACAATCCGATACTAACACTCGTGTTCCAACACATTCATTACACCAAGAATTTTACTACACCGTACTTAAAAGTAAATACTTTAAAATTACATGATTTGTACAAGAATTAAATACGTACCCAATATGGGGATCCACAAAAATAATCCATTGGACTATATAGTTATTTTTATTTGGCACTAAAGTCACACATGCGATGGCCTTTACCGCACAAGTTGACACTGCGAGTACCACCTATATCATAATATTCAACTTAGCGAGCAGCGCGTGCGCTAACAAAGGGATAGCAATACTGCTATAAAGATAAACTTATGTATGTTGAATTATATACAGAACAGAAATATATATCTACACTGGCAATGTTATCTTCAGTCAGTGATGAAACAATGAAACAAACATTCAATTTACTCTGTGGAAACAAATATGGCCACTGGTTAAAATATCGATTACACACGTCTGTTCATATCGAGGTTCCCATCGGTTCTGAATTTCTGACTGTGTAACGTTACGTTTTAATTGAGTGAGCACGTCAGTCGCGTGTCAGCTGGCTGCGCAGGAATATTGTGTTTGAGTTGAAGTATAACTGCTTCGATGTCATGACGAACCATTATTGGCCTCTTGCGTCTGTTCCAGATGATTCGGTTACTGTCCCATTAACTATAAGTATCACTTTATTACGAAGATTACTTATTTATACCTATTTCATAAAAATTATGTTAAATTAAATGAATATTTATTATATATCTTATCTTATATTTATTAAATATACGAGTAGATTATACAGGGCTACTGTTTAAGTCGACCTAGATACTTTAAGCGCGGGCACGCCGTCATTGCGGCGGTAAGACCCGTTATGGAGGATTGGCTCGAGAGGCGTCACGGGACCCTCTCATACCGATTGACGCAGGTGATCACTGGGAAGGGATGTTTCGGAGATCACCTGTGTCTGATCCGCAAGGAGCCAACGCCTGAGTGCCACCACTGCGATGGCCAGACCGTGGACACGGCTCTCCACACGCTGGCAGAGTGCCCGGCGTGGGTTGAGCAGAGGCGAGACCTCGTGGCGGCCATCGGAGTGGGAGTTCTCTCGCTCGATAGCCTGATTGCGGCTATCGTGCGGAGCGAGAGTGCGTGGAACTCTGCCGTCTCCTTCTGCGAGCAAGTTATGCTCGCGAAGGAGACGGCGGAGCGGGACCGGGAGAGGTTTAGAACTCTCCCGGCCCGCCAGGCCCGGGCACGGGCCAGGCAGCGCAGGCGACTCAGGCGCCGGAGGTCGCAGAACGACCTCCGTCCTCCATAAGCGCAGGCCTGGGGGTGACAGGTGAGGCCATCTGTCACCCTAGCAGAAGCAGGCCGGGGTGGCGGCGAGCGCGTTGCGAAGCGCGCTCGCTTCCAGGGAGCACAGGGAACATGGGGTTCCCACACGGGGCGGGGGTCGTCTACTCGTCTGTAGATGACCCGAGGTATGTCGGGGCACCAGGGCCTTCCTTTCTAGGGTATACCTGGTTCCCCGGCTATTAGTACCCGGCGAAGGCGTGCGGTTTTAGTCGGTTCGAGTCCGACATGCCACCGACAGGTGGTATCCGAGGGGATTTCCGCACGGAAAAAAAAAAAAAAAAAAAAAAAAAAAGATACTTTAAGCGATTGTAGTGGCCATTATTTCAGATAGATTTTACTATGAAAAACCATGTTCCAAAATTAACCATTTTCAAGATATGGACTTTTAACATTTTTATAAAAATTGCCGAAATTTTGCCTAATACAATTTATTCTTCTATTCCTATTTTTTACTGTTTTTGTGTAGTAAATATATTGTTTTATAATTTCCATTACCAGATATGTAGTTTACTTAATAAACTGGGCCGAAGTAGATCGTTAATAATAGCAAAAATAATAAATTTATATTTTTTTTTCTTTAAAGAAAAAAAAACTATGACAGATTTGTTAAAAAACATGAACGTAATCACAGTTATCTAACAAGGTATAATAGTCTAGGATAATATCAGAATTCATAGAAAAAAAACTAAAAAGCAGTGTAACGAATTATCGTACCACCCGGTAGTACCTTCCTAGTTGAAAACTTGGCTTGTATTTTGGACTGTTTCCTGGTTTATTCGTTACTAACTATTGCTAACTGGACTTTGATTTGTGCTTTGGATACTGTTGAAGATGACGACCTATACAAACGAGGAATATGTTGATATTTTGATTTCTTACGGATACTGCCAATGCGTATCCGCGCGAGCCACCCGTCTAGCCATCGTGGTTTAGTAAGCCAAAACCTCCTTTCTATATAAAAAAATATTGTATTAGGCAAAATTTCAGCAATTTTTATAAAACAAATTAAATATTCAATATCTTGAACATGGTTAGTTAGGTTTGGGACATGGTATTTCATAGTGAAATCTATTAGTAATAATGGATACTACAACCCCCTTTTTTTTCCGTGCGGAAATCCCTTCGGGTACCACCTATATATAGGTGGCATGTCGGACTCGAACCGACTAAAACCGCACGCCGTCTCGGGTACTAATAGCCGGGAAACCAGGTATACCCTAGAAGGATACTTCAACCCCCTAAAGTAGGTACCTAGGTCGACTTACTACTGGTATAGTATACATATGTTGTTGGTAGCGATAGAACTTTTCTACTTAATGAATTCTGTTTGAATGATTCGGCCGTCGTTGACGGAAGGAATTAACCAAAATTAAGGTTGTTCAGATTCAAAGCAAGCGCCACTGGTGGTTTGATATTATAGTACATTGATAATAATATACCAGGTTTCGATTACTCGTGCTCTTAGAGAAAAAAACTCCCTAAATTTCAAGTCTGATAGGCATTTGCTTATCTAAGAGTATCTTAAGTTATTTTACTTGCATTACTTTTAAATTTGTTGCCGATTTCTTGTTATTAGTCAGTTTGTTTGCTGTTTGTTGTTTGCTATAAATTAAGGTTTGTAGGTAGGTAATTAAATGATACAGATATAACATTAAAATAAACTTCTTTATTTTCAATCAATGATTGGTAATGTTATAGTACGTGCCATATAACTCTGCGTCCACGAACTTCGAGCGAGAAGCGCAGCAAAATAATATTTTAGGTATCAGAGGGGTCATTTCTGCGTATCGAAAAGGGACGGGAGGGCACTTGGCCGCCGACATGTTGTACGGCTGCAAGGTCAGTAGTGCATCTCGCTCTAACACGTTAAGTGATTTATCTGCTTTGCTCTAACGTACTGTTGTGAAAATAATTATTAAAAAAAAGCTGTTAATATTGTTATTTGTTTTGTTTACGTTTGTTATATGTTTTGTTTATGTTTGTAAGTTGATTTACTGCTTTTAAAATTTCGATTTAATAATCTGAGAGTTACTTCAAATTGTTAGGGATATTATTAGAAATCTTATTTAGTAATTTTCCACTTTAATAGACTAAAATTTGAACATAATTCTAGAAGTGTCTATACACTGATAGCGTATTCCCTAGTAGTCCGGAGTTGTTACCAAAAGCGTGATATGTATTTTACTTTTTTGCCACTTTAGTATTTAAAATATTAACGTAATCGTTGGGAAATAGATACATAAGTACATTATATAATTAGCTATCTACATTATATAATTAGTTTATAGCCTGATAACTCACGCAAAAATATTTAAATGTTTCTGGGCTCAGTACGTTTGTTTGCGAGTGTACCTGCGCAACATTCGGTTTGCAGCCAACTTCATTGACGCAGAGTTATGTGCCACGTACTACTTGTTTTAAAATTCGATTTTGGAAGTTAGTTACATTATTTATATTTTTCTAGTGATAAATATACTATCAAATAACGCGAATATGTTCAATATATCTGTTAAGTAACAGAAATGCGCACTTCAATGTCAAAAATAAGCCGACTCATTCTTGCTCAGCTAAACACTTGTCACACTTACAAAATCAGATGTATTATTACTAAGCTCGAGTGTTTGTAAAGTCAAAACAACGTCAATATATCGACAGTTATTTCTTATTATTTATAATATTTAGTATATTCATACTATTAAAATTTCATGAAGCATTAAAAAATCTTATTAAATTAAGATATTTTTTTTTGTTATTATTCGGTTTGCTAATTAATTAAAAATGAAATTAATACTGTGTCGTCTATCTTTGGTACAGAGATCATGGTAAATTACTAATTTAAAAGTGTAATGCATTTACAATCTATTTTATTAGTTCTTAAGTATATTGTAAAAATATTTTATTAGATTATGGGAAAAAAGAAACTTACTTTCAACCTTTCGAGTCGTTTTTCTCAATGTCTACCCGTGGTGCAAGGTGGTTTAAAAATATGTTAGAGGACACAGACATCCTGGCATCAGTAAGTTCTATTATCAAGTAACACTCAAGCTATTCTTATACTCTCCAATCCTGTTCAAGACACTATTTTCCCATCTTTAATTTCTAAAGTGCTCTTGAGTTGACGCCAATATTACGGAATGGGACCAAATTACTGTTGGCAATTTATGGGTATTGAATAGACCTCTGCTCGCCTCTTCAGAGGTATGCATGTGTGTATATAAAAGCATCACTTGATGGTTTAAAGAGTATGTAAATAATTTAGTTACAACTATAACTTTGGCTAATTAGTCCAGCATCTTCAGCTAGACCATAGAACATCGAGTTTTTATCCTGTAGTAGTTCTTTTGGAGAGGCGTACTCGATGAGCTGACCCTTGTCTAGCACCATGACCTTAGTGGAGTCCATGATTGTGTTGAGTCGATGAGCAATAGTTATCACGGTGCATGCTGCGAACTCCGAACGTATTGTTTTCTGTAATATGCAAGACAAGAAGACTGCTGAGCACAGATATGTTTTTCCAAGAATGGTAGAATCTTGGGCATTAGTACTTTACCAGGCAACCGAGTTTTAAAAGTATCAGTCAGGCAGACATTTTTGGTACCTGAATGAGCTCGTCAGTCTCTAGGTCGATGGCCGCGGTGGCCTCGTCCAGCACGAGCAGTGGCGTCTTGCGCAGCAGCGCCCGCGTCAGGCACACCAATTGCCGCTGTCCCACTGACAGGTTCTCACCGCCCTCTGATACTTCATGAAGCAACCCTGACGGCAGACCTGCGCATACAAAGTTAAGGTATTACCTAGGGTAAGTTTATTATTGCTTTCACCCCACTGTGAGCTTCTGGTATTTTTAACACAAGCTTAAGGTTTGAACAAATACAAATAAGGACAGACTTAAGGGAATACAAGTCGAACATAGCGAATAAAATTTTAGAGAAAATTTTAGAACAATATAATTTTTTATATTCAAAATATCTTCAAGATTTTATCTCTCATTACCTCGATATTTTCAATTCATCAATATGTACCTTTTGTACACAATTAAGCTGTTTATTCTTCGTGTGACCTCTCAATGACAACTGGGCACTGTGGACAATACAAATGTCGAGCAATAACGTCCCATAAATTCGCAGTCATCATTATCATCTGCCTACACTTACCCAATTTTATTTCGGGTCGGTGCACTAAGTATGAATTTTCCAATCTACTCTATCATTCTTTATCTCACCGTTTACTCCCTTTCTAGCCATATCCTCACTCAATCACTCCATCCCCCTTTTCTTTGGTCTTCCTCTTCTCGTGTACCCTTCAACCATACCTAAAACTTTCTTAGCCACATTTTTCTTCAAGTTTTATTCTAAAACTTTTCATCAAGTGGCGCTACTTTCAGACTCCCTCGTATATACTCATTCCTAACCTTGTCCATCCGAGTCACACCACACATCCATCTCAGCAGTCGTATTTCGGCTACGTTCAGGTGTCTCTCATCCGTTCTCTTAATGGACCAACTTTCAGAACCATACAGGACGGCAGGTCTGATAAGTTTTATAAATTTGTCCCTTCAGTGTTAAGGGGAACTGGGGTAACAATTTGTTCCCGTTACCAGCCGCCACTTTATCCATCTCGTATTGATTCGATGCTGTACAGTTCGATCAATCTCACCATCACATTGAAAGAGGGAGACCGCCGAAATCGCAGAACATGTACCTACTCAGTTTTGGTTCTGCTGATTTTCAAGCCAACATTCTCCAGCCTTCAGTCCCGCGTCCTGGCATGAACCTAAATTGACTTTGGGTTTTCTCACTCTCATCTCTTATTCTTCTCTCGATCACTTTCTCCCAGACTTTCATAATATGTGACTTGAGCTTTATTCCTCGAGAGTTGTTGCATTCCTATAAATTCGCAGTCATATGAAATAAAAGTCGGACAAAGAGACTCCGAGACTCGAAAGCACGAACAACATTTTGCTTTAGATTTTCCTGTCCACATCAACCTTTCGAAAACCTTGATTTTTCAAAATCAATGTTCATCAGGCATGATTAAGTTTTTCATTTATCTAGGTATATTAGTTTTACTATTCCAGGACGTAATTTACTCTTTGATGTAAAATAAAGCCACACTAATACCTCTTAATTATTGTTACCTCGTTCCAAGGTTACTTCAACAGAAATTTAAGTTTATGGACATAATTAGTCGTAAAGATCGCGAGCTCTTACTGTACATATTTTTATTTATTCTGCCATTAAAATGTTTTACGAAATCTGTCATAATCCGAAGAGTTTTATGTTTTAAGGTCATCAACATCGCTATTTGATTAGATTTTCTGCATTACATTGCGTATTAGGCTCTGTTGGAAAATACAAAGCAGTAATTCTAGATGCCATTCCATATTGAAAATCGCAGGCAGGTGCACCATAAATATTCATGGTGCTTTTTGATAATTTATTTTGGTTTTGGTCGTCCAATCATCGACCGGTCGACTGTGCCTATAAGATACTATGATATGTAATTTTCTTCTATAAGTAAATTCTTTTTATCTGCTTTATTTTCTTTCAAATTTCGTCGCAAACTACACCTCAAATATATATATACATATACATACATTTATGCTGATTGAGTTTAACTGACGTGCTCTTATCTTATGTATAAACACATCATTATGTCTTTAATGTTGTGTTTACATCGAATGTTTCCTGTAACATGTAATATCAGTACGATTACTGCCATTACATGTTACAGGTTGTAATGATTTGACACGTCATGTAATAATTTAAGTTATTTGAAGAGAAATTTTTGCAGGACTAGAAATGTGGAAGCTCTTCAAATAACTTAAATTATTGTATGATGTGTCAAATAATTTTTTTATAGTAGCTTGAAATATATACGCTTAAAACCGCTCATTAAAATATGAAAGTAAAAAAATCGACCTAAATAAACATACACACAGAGTCACAATAACCTTGTCATAAATGTAGGCGAAGTTTGAAATAAATAATCTGTACTTATTGCATAAAGTGGATGTAGAAATACATTTAAATTTTAAGCCAGATAAATATTTGCATTAGAAATGCGCTTTTTTGTTCGATGCGATTTTGATCGAATTTATTTGATCGGTTGGTAGAATATAAACTTTTAAAATATTGTTATACCTATTACACGTGTTTCAAATACAAATTCTAACAACTTAAATAGGATAAGATTAATGTTGTGAACGTTAGGAAAGACCAATATTTAGATTAAAAACTAAAAATGTATTTAGTTTTTTGACAATCCTTATTTAAAAATACTAATAATTTACCGTCATCAAGAGCAATGTTTAATGGATAAATGCTTATTAAACAGTGGTCCCGCGTTCCAAGAAGATCCTGGGTTACGAGGAACGTTGTTAGGTGGTACAGAGTTAGGAAGTGCCTATAAATATTGCAGTATCAAGACTAATAGGATAATATCGTTTTTTACCTCACAGAAATTCAAAGAAGGAAAATCCAGTTCACAGAATGTCTAATTCGTAGACTGTTCAGTTCGCAGAATTTCCAGTTAGCAGAACGTCTAGTTCACAGAATGTTCAGTGCACAGAATATCGAATATTCACGCGGCAAGTGCCAGAACTGGTTGCATTGTAGTAGTTGAATGAAAAGTTCCACTAGCTTACAGAAACAGTGGGTTAGATTAGTACTGCGGCCAGAACCGAACTGTACGTGCTTAGTGTAAACGAGTTTTTCTCGTCATGTTGATAAGGGTGATTTTTTTTGTATTTGTTTAAGGTATGACACACTTTATGACAAAAATAAAACTCATTATGATTTTAACGAATAATTTGACAGCTCATTAAAACCCAACAACGTGACAACGTTATGATAAACATTCTAGATTCTGTGAACTGGACATTCTGTTAACTGGACATTCTGTTAACTGGACATTCTGCGAACTGGACATTCTGCAAACTGGACATTCTGCAAACTGGACATCCTGCAAATCTGACATTCTGCGAACTGGAAACTTTGGGGCCGCTGGACATTCTGCGCCTAAACGAACCAAATTCTTTATTTGGTAAAATAATGTCTTCCTGTCGGCGCCAATAGCAAAAGCTACTTATACTTTGGTAAGTATAATATTAACTACCTACAAATTAGTGATAGCTCTATTACTTCACAATAGAAGCAATCAAAAGTTACTATATCAATATATCTTTGATCGTACAAAAATAAGAGTCCCATACCACAGTTTGTGAAAAACACAATGCGTCCATATCGATCCAAAATTTTATATACAATCGATACGATTGGATCTTGTGCTCACGATCGAATTAGAAAATATCAGAGGGCCGAGTGCTAGTTCATCTTACATCGACACGCTCTCGACGGCGGGCGCATTTAGCGAAGCGATTAGTGGAGATTTCAGAGCGGGCCGATCTTAGCGCAGCGCGGTCACCATGATGATCGCGTAGATGTAAAATAAACTCGCACTTGGGCCTCTGATCGGACTGGATCGCTAGAAATTAAATTATACTATTGTACTATTTTAACATTTCTTTATTCTCTTATCCTGTATTTTAAGCAACAAACAATAAGATTGATAACGAATTGAAATATCCAAATATTTCAATTAGTTATCAATCTTGTGTTCTATACTAACCTAGTACGAAAGCTTTCAGATGCGAAAGCTCGAGCGCACGCCAGATGTCGTCATCAGAATACGATTCGAATGGATCCAGATTCATTCGCAAAGAACCTGAGAAGAGCACAGGATCCTGCGGGATGATGGTGATACGAGTTCGGAGCTGGTGAAGGCCTATCTTAGTAATATCTAAGCCATCGATTAAGATGCGTCCTCCCGCTGGCTCCAAGATCCTACAGCATAGTTATGTCACCTTAAGCATACGTGTGAAGTGACGGTCAGTTATGTATTCGCGAGTCAATGCACGTACCTGAAAAGTCCAAGCGTAAGGGTGGACTTGCCTGCGCCAGTGCGGCCTACAATACCGAGCTTATCGCCTGGCTCTACCGTACATGTAAGGTCACTCAGAGCGGGTTCCACTCTAAGTGACGCCCCATTTCGATATGCCATAGTAAGCCCTTCAAACTGCACTGAGCCCGTCTCTGGCCACGAAGGCCGAGGACCTGTGGGTTTTACCCACTCAGCTTCCTATAAATATTGATAATGTCATCAGCAGCTAAATACGAACAATTGCCTACCATAACTGTACTGTGACTTACTTGCTCCGTTTCAGCATATTCCTTCATGCGTTCGACTGCCACGATATCAGTTTCAATTGTTGATATCATTTGCACTAACATCCTCAAAGAATTGGTAATCTAAAAAGCCAAAAACATAATTTGAAATAACCTTTCACTCTTAGAAACGTTAAGCAAGAAATACCTACTTACTTTCAACGTATAACTAATGGAAAGCCCTGCGATTCCTGGGCTAATATTATCGCGACCGATCACTACGAATATTGCAGCAAAGAAGATAATAAGTCCACCAACGACTTGCAGGCGAACGCCAAGCCATCTATTTGCAACAGCTATCAGGTAGACAAATGACTGGTAGTAATCAACTTTCTTCTGGGATTCTTTGATAAATCTGAAAAACAGAATTTTTGTTTTAAAACCCTCACCATCCATAACCAGTCCAGATCCCAACCTGTTGCAACTAACTCTGCTAAGTGCGTTATTCTCATGACATTTATGAGTACCTAATGAAGAATGAATTTAAAACTGTATTTCTGCTAAGTATTTTGTTCCACGTATGTACAAATATCCCATCAGATCTTTTATCCCCGAACAAGCGTATTAAAACGTCCATTAGGGAGTCATTCCCGTATATAATTCTAAACTAGTGATCCGTCCCAGGTAAACCACTGAACCGATTTTAAACTTTCACCAATGGAAAGCTACATTATCAGCGATCAGTAGATTGCGTACTTTTTTCTTGAATGTAAAGTATAATGAAATAGTACTAACCTGTCCTTGACACCAAAAGCACGAATACTGGTTGACCCCAAAAGACTTTCGTTAAAATGTGAAAAAATTGGTGAGCGAGCTATGGACTTCATCCTCATGAGCTGTCGTGACGTAGGCACAAAGAACCGTTGCACAGCGTAGTAAAGTACTCCAATTGGAATTATCACAGCCATGAACATTGGTGTTGAGTAACTTATTATGAATAAGGTGCCTATCACCTGCCACATAAAAAAAATTGATGATAATTATTGCATTCGAACCCTATGTGAAATATTTAACTGATGTCACCAGGTCTGCTATGACGTAAAGCAATGATTGCTATATGCGAATGGGGCACGGCAGTATAAACGTAATACTCGTAAAGGTGAAAATTTTGTGTTTGTTTCTAAGGGCCTGGTGCAAAGTTGTTACACATCTCCACGGGGTGGCTTTTGCCACCGTGGAGGCGCTCCAGCCGGTCATCGTTGAGTGGACATGGCGGTAGCACGGGACCCTGTCCTTCCGGCTGACGCGTGTCCTTTTCGGGCACGACTGCTTCAGGAAGTACCTGCACGCGGTCGATAGGAGGGAATTGAGAGGACTCGGCTCAGCACACGCTGGCAATATGGCCGGGCGGCTTGGACGCCGCATCATGCACATATATTACTGTGTATATCTTTGTATGTTCACTGTGTGTGCCAGTGTATGCCAGACATAACCATTTCGCCTGGTCGGCGGACCTTCGGCGGGTCATTGACTTAGAGTGACAACGTAACAACGTTGTTAGATAGTGGCAATTTTACCGTGAGTTTATAAGCAAAAAGATTTACAGCTCGTATTCTGTGAAGTTTGGTGCTTAAAGATTATTCAAGTTGGCTCTGGCGAAGTGTGCAAATTTTTTTTTAAGAATTATGATAAAAAAATATGGATGTTACTTTAACAGTAAATAAGATTACCTCGAATAAATAGTTGAGTGCGTTAGAGATTTTCGCAGCAAGAGAGGTATCTACAGAATCCACATCTTTTGAAAACCTTGAGAGAATTCTGCCAACAGGGGTCACTTCGAAGAAATGTAGCGGCGCTCTCAGTATGTTGTTCAATAATATTTCATGTAGAATTTTCGCAGCTCTCCAGCAAGCCAAGAATGGTAGTAAGTTCGAGAATAATGTTGATAACGCTGCATATAATTAGTACATATATATAGTATAATTAGTGCATATAATTACACACTGTTAGTAAAATGAACAAGCGAAGTCACACTAGTTAGTATTCAGTACCGGTGCAGAGCCATATAATACTTTTAAGTATTGCAACATTTTGGAAAATAGTATTTCGTTTCGACATTGAACTTTATTTAATGTTAATAGTTAGTTAGGTTTACTCAAGAATATCACTCAACTCAACATAGTAAAGATGTAAACACAAGAATTGAATTAATAAATTAGCTAATAATAATGGTCCCTCAACCAATTGTGGCCAATGTCTTTTACTGATATATAATCATAATAAACATCCACAAACGGCAGCGTTTATATTAATTTGGTGTGGGGCTAAATCTAAATATACCCGAAATAGTTACTGCGTCTAATTTCAACAAGAAGATTACCAACAGGTAACAGATTTGACCAACGCGTGATTGACTTCTCACACACATAACATAAAGACTGCGTCTGTCAAATAGCATGTGAATTATAAAATATGTGTAAGTAGCAATAAATCTCACAAACTAATATAGTATTATTAATTTACTAAATCACACAATCCAGTACCATTTTGGCGTTTTTTTTTTTCATCTAATGGCTAAAGATAGCTATATAAGTACTTAATTAATTTATCGCCCACGAATAGTTTTGCGAACACTTTGATCAGTTTCGAAGAAAATAAAAACATACGGTGTTTTATCACTAGTGGATAATTTGCTAGGAACCCGAATACCCTAATAAGGTAATTCCTGGATGCCCCTTCATATCTTAGTCGCCTCTTCATAGACAGACTGCCACATTGTGAGTTTAGGGTGGCGAGTACGGAACACGTCACAATGTCAGGTTTTTTTTGTGTAGTAAACCCTTCGGGTCGTCACAGCAGTTGGGCCAAACGGTGGTATGTCGGACTCGAACCGATTAACACCACACAGTGTTAAATCATCAAGCCTTTAGGAGCCTGGGGCTTATGTGTACCCTAGAAAGGAAAACCCTGTGAGCCCCGGCAAGCAATCTCAGGCCTGCTTCTTACATATTTTGTACAATAAAACTTCGTCCCTCTAAAGCATAAATAATGGAAGTTTTATTTTAATTATTAAAGAGTTATTTACTAGAGTTATTTGTAAGTTTAAATTGATGAAAAACTGCACTAACTATTCATTACAACATAATTATAATATGATACATGATAAGTACCTTGAGCAAGACTAATGCCGCCGTACACGCCTAGATACTGGTCGCGCAACTGAGTATCCACTGTCCCGTTTATGAGCTAGTAACAATTAAAAAAAATCATCAAAGTATTTTCTAAACAAACAATATAGAAATTGTGAACTAATATTATTAATGTGAGTGTGAGTCTATTGTTATACCTACTCAAGACAAGGGGATAAGTTGCACATAGGGTATGTTCACCCAGAGTTAAATTACAATTCCCGAAAATTAGAAAAACAAGTTCTGTGTAGGTGAAGATGTGAGTAAGAGCTGTGAGGGGTATCGTGGCAGTCTGTCATACTTCTATAACTAAAACGTGGTTGTTTGTGATGAATACTATACAATACGTTCCTTATTAATATTTTACGCGTTGAAGAAAACAAAACAGTGTATTTTTAACTCATGACGACATTGTGCAGGGCGATACGTTTGAAAACATGACTGCTACACAGATAGCCAGAACACAACACAAGTACTTAGAGAAAAAATAAAGATTATAAAAATGTTATGAAGATTTGTAAGTAGTTGGTAATATTTTAAACTGTGACTTCATATCTACAAACTTTTATTTAAACTGCAATGCGCATTGATTTCTTTGATGTTTGTTATTTGTATTATTATTTCTATGTAATATTTGGTTATATATGGGTTGGGGAACAATTTTTTGGGATGCAAATAATATAAATATACGGGAATTTAAAACAAAATCTTCTGAGTGTTCGTCAATTTATTTAAACCGTAACATGCTTGTAGCAATTAAAAATAGGAAACAATGGTTTCGTCGTTAAATAAATGAATAATAAACGTCCTTTTAAATTTTCTGTTTATCTTTTTTTAATTGACCTAGTTTGGCTGTCGTTTCTTTGTTTAGCCGTCGAGTTAGAATCAGTCAAGTTACCTCGAATAGACTTAAAATGTCACATTAAACACATCCTTAGTTTAATATTATACTAACCATGTTTTTGTCACTAGACCAACGAGCGAGCCAAAAGTTGGCGCCAATATTTAAGGATTGCGTCAGGATATATGTTAGTAGAGTTCCCACTGATGCGAACACCCCAATATTCGATAAGTAATGCTTGTAAACCGTCCATTTCACCTAAAAATAAAGATCACTTTATTGTACGGTATAATGAACTATTGCTCGGTGGTTTCAAACACTAATCATACTTACACTACCAGTTTCGGCCTTCTCTGCATGTATAAGTTGGTCAAACTTATTTGTTGCCTTTTCTTCTATTTGCTCTGTACTTGATTTCACATCTATGTCACCTGATAAAAACGTAAGACGAACTGGTCACATTAGTAGTAGGTACTAAAAAACTACCAAAAAACTAAATCAGTACAAAAAAACTCTAGGTTATCAAATCGGAGTCACAAACAAATTAAATTCAAAGAGTTATTGTAACGTAATTATTATTTTTAAATTCACGCCTTTTGGGATTGAAGAACTATAAAGGTCTAAAATTACTCTAAGCTATAAAACTTCTTAAATTTTACCTTCGCCAGCTAATTCAGACGTAGTAGAACGAGCTCCAGAAGATAAAGACCGAGCCCACTGTAATTTTCGGTGTAATTCGGTACTGGTTTTCCCTTCCAAATCCTGTTTGATGTTTTCTGAATGTGAAATATTAGGGGTAAATGTCACATTTGACCCTATTTGCAAGTTATGCCAATATTAAAAAGTGAGCAAGAGAAATCAATTGAACAAAAAGTGAAAGTTGTAAACAACTTAAGAACTTCCTCTCTCATAACCTTTTGCTGTGCCCGAGAGGGTCCATAATGGTTCTGTATTTTTATATTTTTAAGACCATTTATGTATATTATAGAATGCAATAAATTGATTGAGTTTTGAACCTATATATTTATATAAAAAAATATTTTTTCTATGTATAATATATATGTATTTACAAAAAAGTGTTTAAGTATTCTATCCAATCAATCTAGTTTTCATAGTACAAGCTCTGTTTAGTTTGAAACTAGATGGCGTTGTGTGTCAGATGTCCCGAAAAAAAACTATAAAGTAATGTAGATATTAATATTATTAGGAAGAAAATCATATTATTGACTGAAAAAAATTACAAATGTTTACTATTCAAAAGGTAAACTTTTGCAAAATATCAATAAGTATATTAACGTACACGTATTGACGTATTCTAGTAGAAACTCACCATTACCAGCATTTTGTTCAGCGACGCTCATATGGTGCAGTAAGAAATCAGCAAAGGCCCCTTTTTTGTCAAGAAGCTGTTGGTAGGTGCCAGATTCAGATACTCCTCCATCGCGCAGCACCAGCACTAGATCAGTTTGCGCCAAGTAGGAGATGTTATGAGTCACCCATACACGCGTTTTATTCTTTAAAAGCCCTTTTGGTCCGATAACCTGTTGAAGTATATTTCATATTATTTTGTCACAACTGCGACTGCTGTGCTGAGGTGTCGGGTTCGATTCCCGGGTCGGACTATGGTCAGTAATGTTTGTATGATCTGCGAATATTTGTTTTAAAGTTTGAGTGTTTTCTATGTATAATATGTATGTATTTTCAAAAAAGTATATAAGTATTCTCTCAGTCAATTTAGTTTTCATTGTACAAACTCTGCTTAGTTTCAAATGTCCCAAATATTATTATTATCATAACCGAATGTAAAATGTCGTATCTTAAGGTCAAAAGAATAGATTTTATGACATTTTTGAGATTGTTGATTGGATTTTTATCACTAGAATTGACTTTCGGGAGTTAAGTGCGGATAGGATATTAATTGTAGTGTTGATCTCACTCTTTTTGTATTAAGTAGTAAGTATACGTAAGGAATAGTTAATGACATTCTTGACATCGATTTCAGAGTATGTTTCATTACAAAAAATACTAAATATATCTAGTAACATTATAAATCTAGAATGATCAGAACGATCTGATTGCGAGTGAAAGCCGACTGATATTAAAGTACCCTTACATTGTCAAATATTTCTTTTCCAACATGCGAGTCCACCGCGCTTAGCGGATCGTCCAAAAAGTAATTTTCAGCTTGACAATACACTGCACGAGCTAGAGACACACGTTGCTTCTGACCGCCAGACAAGTTGATACCTGTAATAATAAAAGATTGAAAGGGCAGTACTATCTTTTTGCTTACTATATTTTATTAATCGCTGCATCTTTTGGAGCTTACCTTTCTCCCCAATTTCCGTCTGATCGCCACCGGGAAGAATAGCTAGATCAGTCTTCAAAGCACACGCTTCGATTATTCGGTTATATTTAGCTTTATTGTATGGGTGCTCAAATAAAATATTATTTTGTACTGTTGCGTTTTGTATCCACGCTTGCTGGGCCACGTATGAAATATTGCCTGAAAATGTAGTGTGAAAGTAGATATACATAAGTACTAAGGTTAAATAACATAAATAATTTATAAAAACATAGGACTGTAAATACGAGAGTCCAGAGTTCAATTTATTGGTAGACTGCTTTGGAATTCACGTTCGTCGTTTTCGTTATTTATTACAAGTTTCCATTCTGACTAACCCTAAGAGCCACGGTTTATGCCTTGTCCAGCCTAGTGTTAGTTTTAGACCACATCCAATTTTTTTTGCATACTGTTTTATTTTATAAGTTTTCTCAATGCATGAAGACTCATCATTCTCATCAGCCGGTTGAAAGTAGATCACAAAATTGCATTTACGACTCTTTCGATAAGCAAGGTAGATATTTTTCTAATACCAACTGACCAAAAACATCAACCGCATGGTACATTAACATGGTTACACATCTGGTATTTAATTAAGACTTATCATGTAATATTTACCTATAGGCCCTAAGGCATGGTAAAATTTATAATTATACATAATAAAGTAATTCTTATTTAGAGATGCCTGACCTAATATTTAATAATTTATATTACATATCAGAATATGTCCTTGTTTATTTTTAACTATTGATTTTTATAAGTAATTAATACATTTTGCACACAACTTGAAAATGCATTAATCAGGGGCCCACTAGAACCACTAAAAAGCGACTTAACGAATCGTTCACAACTTGTTAATATCGACAATTACATCAGCGATGAACTTTCTATCTATTACGGTATGCCTCAAGGAAGCATCTTAGGCCCTACTTTATTCCTTGTCTTTATTAATGACCTTTGTAACTTAAACATTCCACATGCGAATATTGTATCTTTTACAGATAACACTGCTATAACTTTTCATGTAAACACATGGTCTGAACTTGAAAGAGCCGCTCAAGGAGGTTTCTGTACTGTTTCAACCTGACTTACCTCACACACTCTCTCTTAACACTCCCAAAACTAATTTTATGACCTCGCTTACCCCACTATTTCAACCTAAAAGCCCTATTAATCGAATAGCTCACTTTTGTCAGTCTCAACCGCATCTGAATTGCAAATGCCTAGTAATAACTCCAGTTTACCAAATTAAATACCTCGGCATTATCTTGGATAAACACCTTAAATTTAGACAATATATTAACACTCTCGGGACGCGTTCGTAAGCTAATATATGTTTTCAAAAACTCAGGACACGTAGCCAATCCGACAATCATCCGTAACGTGTATTACGCACTGTCACTCCATTATAATTTATTGTATTCCTTGCTGGGGAGGTTAAGCTAAAACAGTTTTCTGGATATTGCTCATCGTTCTATTTTAAAAGTTGCTACATTCAGGCCTATTTTATATCCAACAACCGAGCTCTATAAGAAGTGTAGTTTACTCAACGTGGTTCAACTTTTTTAAAAGATTTTCTTCCTACCTTGGTCAATCTATTTATAACATATTAATGCAGTGTGCCCTATCTATCATGCTATAATACCTCCAAAACCTGAATTATGACGAAACAGAGCAATTTCTAAACGATTAAGTACAAAATATTATTATTAAAGCGCAAATTACAAACAAATATGGCCACAAACACCGAAACCACACATGTACACACTCATACACATACACTTGCGCACACACGCTACGCACAGGACATTCACCTCCATATGCACACATTGATATAAGCATTATTTTGTTATTAAACTACATATTCTTGCTGTACACAACACTCACGAGTCATGGTTATGTTATAACAACAGAGTTAAGGAACTGTAACTGTAACTCCTAAATACAGCAACTTGGTTGCCTATCTAGAAGAACAGCAAACTCTCCAATTAATTATAGCCTAAGTATATACCTAACTATTATTATAACGTATATAATGAAATTGTAAAATATTACTCTGAAATAAATATTATTATTTAAATTATAAGAATTCCGGTAGACAGAATTCTTACTTTTATTTAAAATATTGAGCAAAATGGTTAAAAATATTATTTATCTGTATAATTTATCCTTACGCTATATTCTTTGAATGTCCAAGTCGTTATACGGCACCTACCCTTTATATTAACCCGTCCGGAGAGTTTGTCCATCTCCCCGAGCAGCGCGGCGAGCAGCGAGCTCTTGCCGGAGCCGACGGCGCCCACCACGGCCACCAGCGCGCCGCGCGGGATTCGCACGTTTAAGTCTTTGAGCACCGGCTCCGCGTCTTCCCCGCCCCAAGAAAAATGACCACCTTCTATGACTATTTGATCAGCTGCAAAAGAATTTAAGTGTATGACTTCTGTGACTATTTGGTCAGCTGCAAAATAGTGTATAACTGCTATTTCGCACAATTAAACATGAATTCAAAAGTATGATAGGAACTAACAACTTTAACCTTGTTCATCGGTTAATGACGTATAGAATACAGTTACTTAGAGTTACTATTATTTTTATGGCATATAGGGGAAAGCGACCAGGGCCTCAATTCTGCTATTTTAATATTGTATCAATCCACCAAAATAACCAAATGAGCTAAAATCCCCCTTGATTTGGGCTCATTTGGTGAAAAGCAACGTAATATTTTTTTTAACTCCGATTTTCTGTAAGGCCGTAGTATCACTCCGGTTGATCCTGGCGTATATGTGCCAAGGGATGACAGTTCCAACGGTTTTCTCAAAATTTTTTACTTACAGTTAATGCCGGTTTTTTTCTTTAATAAAAAATGTCTATATGACAAATTGTAGGATTTTTTCGGTGTTCGCTCCACGAATTCCGTCATTAAAAGTTGTAATGCTTATTTGAGACAAACTAGTTCAATATTATACAGAAATACGTGTATTATTAAAACTTAAACCTGTCATTTTACTAAGATGTAATATTTATAACATGAAATACGTCATCAAATAATAAATAGAAACAGTTATCTACCCCGCTTCGTTAAGTTCTTCAAGGGAAAATTTTATTGATCGGGTTTGCGTCATAATTACATGTATCCCATAAATACACGCCATAAGTAAAGATAGATGGATAGATAAATGAAAACTCTATTTGTTTACCATTTTATCATATTTACAAATATTAGATATGTAATATACAAATAGGTATGACTAATTACGTATGGATGGAAGACTGTTTTGATAAGAAAACAGAATTATAGCTAGGCAGTGCTGGGGTTCAATAGGATATCGCGGGGTTACCAGATGAGAAAACAAAAGATACAAATAAATTTACTCACTCTCGTTAGCATTATGTTCAATCATACGATCATCTAACTCTTCAGAATTCAAAAACTTGTTTAATCTTTTTAGACTGACATAACTCTGTAAAAATACAATGAAAACTCTTACGACATACGGAAAAAATATAAAACAACTGTTAATAAATATTCGAACGGCGTAACTAACCTGTACAATATCAGAGATAACATTAGGTAATATAGACATTGGAAAGCGAAGCATATTGAAAAGAGACAACGCTACAAATGCTCTTTTCGAATCAAGCACTGCTTTATCGTTTACCAATACAAAACATGTGAATGACATCAGAGATATCTGGAAACCCAACAATCGTTAATTGAATATTACCAATTATTTTTACTCCGTCACAATATTGCCAACACTTACCAGTACCGGTGTACAATAAAACACAAAGGTGAAAAAAGAGTCATAATAGGCTATTTTCTTCAAAATCTTTATCTCTCTGTTCCTTATTTTAAGTATGTACTCCTGAAAACTTGGTTCCCATGCATATATTTTAAGTACCTGGGAAAATAAATCTGGAATTATTATAAACATTTAATCATTTAAATCTTAATAATATATCAAAGAAATTCGGGCTAATTACACCGTTTATAATTTAAGAATAGCCGGCTCGATTATTGCTATCTTTAATTTATAAGATTTGTCTCCACCCCGAATAGCAGAATAACTTTAGAACATTTCAAAAATTCACAAAAAAAAAATTGCAAAGAAAAATCATTTCTTTATGCATTGTGTATTAAACAAAACACGGAAGCTTTGACTAAAAACGCAGCTGAAGTGCGGGAACAGCTTTTTTATCATAAGTAAGTAATATACCTAATGAAAAATTACATAATGAGCGAAGGCCTTGAAATTATCAGTACAACTAGCCGATCCCCACATTTTCACATGCATTTATTATGTTAAATAGCCTATAACGTTGTCTGAAATGTAAGAGTTTATGACCAGACTTATCTATAAACCTTATCCTACAGGGTCTGGAGAAATAGTACAAAAAAAACAACTTTTATGACGATCGCTTGAGTAAGTAAGGCATGAAAGCGCAACTAACAAGCAACTTGACTAGGGCATTTATAATTTTATAGATGAATTCACTTTAGAACATTTATTAAATCTAATCACTTTATTTCTTGTACAACACTTAACTGGGCTCTGGTCTTAATTTAAAATCGACAGGTTAAAATCTTACGCAATTGCTCGCATTGTACAGTTGAAGATTTTAAGGGAGGAATTAGAACTAAATAAATAGGTTAGCTAGTCTCATTTATCACCTGTTATCTTACTTTTATGCCATTAAGTACTTCGTTCATTAGTTTAATTCTTTCGTCTTTGTATTGCATCAATTTCGTTCGTAGTTTTTTTTGCATCCCAGCAAAGTATCCGTTCAACGGCATTAGTACAATAATCACAGCCATCCCGGCCAGGACAGACGGCCCCAACTGTTTCCATAGAAAGTACAACGCCAACGTAATTTGCAATGGTGCTGACCATACCCAATTGATAAATGTCAAATCGCTAAACCTGAAGCGGGATGAAAGAAGTTCTGTTTAATCATTTCTTTGTTTTTCTTAAAAATTGGGTGACATAAATTGCACGACGTTTACATCTGTGAGGGCAAGACAAGGCCGGTTGTTGTGGCGAATTTTGAGGGTGGCCTATGTCCAGCAGTGTGTATATGTATTTCGGCTGAGAGGATGATGATGACATCTATGTATGTTTTAGAATATTAGTACTGCACTAAATTCTCTCAGTCTGTGTTACTGATATTTTGGAATTCGTGAACTTATGACAGCCTGGTAATTGCAGCAAGGATCTATCACATAACGGACCTTTTTGTTGATTCAGATAATATCTAAATACTACGACCATTTCATTTCATTTATCGGGTGGCCTTGAAAATTTTTATTTTTACCGTGAAGGTCTTTTTTAAAATTTGATCTATAAAGGATTTACCAAAACGGTTTATAAGTAAAGGACTTATAAGGTAACAAACATAAAAAAAATACAGCTGAATTGAAAATCTCCTCCTTGAGAAAAAAATAACTATAGAATTTCAAAAGACTAATCCGAGTACAAACTCGTATTTGAAAGATATCTCTATTATGTTCTTAATTTTTTATTATTATTTTTCATCATCAACAGCCTTAAATAGTCCACTGCTGGACATAGGCCTCTCCTTAGAAAGGAGGTTTTTGTTTTGTTTATTTTTTAAATATTATTAATTTTGAATTAGTTACCTACCTGGTGATATCAGTAGACATTAAGTTAATAATTTCTCCAGCTGTAGAGCTTTTTTTAGCTTCGTTGGATAAGATTAGAGCTTTCTTGTAGACCATGCTGCTCAATGCACAATTTATCTTGACGCCCACTAGAGATGTCTTTAAAAAATATTGTCCCATGATCACGGTATGTAGGCAAGAACATACAAACATACTTACAGCGTAGAGGTAGCCTCTCCATACAGGCTCCTTACCCTCCACAAAACCTATCAGTAATCTGAAAGGGTAAATAGTATCTCAATGGTCGGTTACGTTAAAGAAAGTAACAACAAAAGGATAGTAGTATTTTAATACCAATCTTCTGCTTAATATACCTACGTTGATTGGCTATAGGGGGATTGTGTATTAATAAAAATTGTGTGAATAATCTTCTGTTGAAATACGTAGCAAAAATTTGTTAGATATTATTAACGGGAACGCTGAACGGACTAGGATAACATTTTGTAGATTGCTCTAGATTAACCAGTGGAAAGGTAGTTTTTATTAAAACGCATTCTTACTCTTATATATATATATTCTGCATATTACCTATAGTAGGTCTAATGTAATATTTTTTTTCTGTTGCAACAAATCCTGCTTTTAAAACATAGAACATGGTTAACAGCGGAAAAAATTGCACTTCACGCCTAGGAATTAAATATTTTACTTAGAACCAATACCAATATATTCAACTCATTATTACTATAGTAACAAGAAAAGTACTCACCTGAGCAATTCTGGTGAAGCAAAATTAAGTACATCGCTGCATAGCCTAAATGCCGTACCGACTAAAAACAGCCCTCCGAAAGATTTGCAACAAATTGGAAATACAGATAAAGGTTTCCTCTCCTTTCTTTGACCTCGTAGAGGAAAAGATTCTGGGCATTTGGGTGCCTTTGTACTTCTGTAATGTATGCAAATATTGTCACAAAAGGCAGTTATCTCATATTATTCGATTTTTATATTTGTTACAATGATATTGTTAAACGAGGAAAATGATAAAGTAAACGGAAAGACCATTATAATTTATTTGGTCACTTATTTCTGCGACTCGCTTGTTAGTATCTATTTCTGAGAGACCATTAAAGTATATTTGTTAACTTATTTCTACAACTCGCTTGTTAGTATCTATTTCTGAGACAAATTTTTTTCTTCCTACATCTCTACACATAATAGTTTTGGGAAAAATTAAGCGCACTCAAGTACTTTGTTAACAAACTAATCGGTGCATTAACACAGATGACGAAAAAATATTCAATTTTGGTACCGGTTTGGTGTGCATGTATCGTGAAGTATCTTTTCATATTCTCAAACATATTCTGTCTTCAAGGCTGAATCCGAGTTTTAAGTCATAATATGACATAAACTCGGATTCAGCCTTGAAGACACTTGCTTTTCTTACTATATGACTGTCATATATTAAGAATACCAAGTGAAAGCCTAACATTTAAATCTGTATTCTATTGATACAGACCTAACTGTCATAGATCTGAGTCGAACTAATATAAGAGTTCTATTTTAAGCGCACACTTGAGATGCTGTGCAAATTATAAATATAAACTAAATGGCATTTTTTAGTTTCTGTACTCACTCGAGTGATATTCGTTAATACGAACATAATAATGAATAAACCAAACTGCGCACTCAAAAGAGGCGTCGCATGATACTTAAGTGCGTGTTTACCAAGTGCAATCAGACCGCGAATTAAGCGATTTGTGTACACAGAGTACCTGGATTCCAAAAATATTATAAATAGTTTGCATTATTATGATAAAATAATATGGCTAGATTTTTAACTAAAATGATAGTTAACGACAGGAAACAACTCAATTACTCAATCAGAGGGTGCTCTTGGCAAACAATTACGACTTTTTCATTCACACAAAGCACCATACACAGACCTATTTCTTAGCCTTCCATGGATTCACCGTGCGGTTGCCGGGTCGGTCGGTATCGGTTTAGGGAGTACTGTCTGCTGTGTTACCCCCTCTACCTAACCATATTTGATACGAGCCTAGCAGTGCCGCTTTTGAATATTCGTCCAAGAAAAGAGCTTACTGAAGCTCTTGGCAATCCAAGGTCTGTAAGCAGGTTATAAAGTGATATAGTTTGTATAAACTTCGCACCCACTTCCAGCGCATACAACGCAACGACATAACCATTTTTAGTTATTTCGTTGGTTAAGTCAAAGTACTTGTTTCTTTTCAAAGCGTGGTCTTTAGGGATGTTCGTTTCCCATTGGCACCGTGAGTTCTACTAGTACTACACGCTTAATTGAAATTGTATAAAGAAATGTGTCTGGTCTGGACACCGAGGCTCAGATATCCTCCGGTATTTTGTAATGATTTTCACACGTGTCCACTAATAATGCACAGTCACTGGCGGTATTTAAAATTGAAGTCTTTCTTTACAAACACGATTTTAGTTCTTATGTTTGTTGTTATTTCTTTTTTCGTTCTCGCCAGTGATAAACTTATAGCTTTGCGTATGATTTGTAATACCCTATCATGGCGATGTGAATAATGACCCCGGTCTAATAGCGCCTTACAACCTGTTGGTAAGTGTCTGGCTGTACCTATTTCTGCACTGCAAATCGTACAAGCTGTTTCTGTAGCTTTTCCCCACCTTGCTAGGTTGCTTTGATCGAGGATAAAATTTTAACAGGGCAGGTGACCAATCGTATAAAAGTGTGCGCCATTTCAAAGTTGGTGGGATACTAAATTGTCCTAGAGTTAACCATTCATTATGCATTTATAGGTTCATTGCATGCACCTTGTAGGTTTCGTTTACATCTTGTTGTAGGACAGATTTTGTTATCTCTTTGTCGATCTTCTGGCATTTCCCAATCCAACTCTACTGGACTGCGTACCCACTATGATTTTTTTGTGGAATTGGAGCCGTGATTCAAGCTCTAATGAATTTTTGTTTTTTGGAAGGGATCTAACGATTTTATCTTGTGATTTTGATAAGACATGCATTTTGGTAACTCTTAGGTGTTTGTAGGGTTGCAAAAGTCTTTTTAATTTCATTCCAAAGTTATTCGAGCCCCTGTACAACGTTGACGGGTTTGCAGATGGTGCCAGCCCGAGCCACGACTTCAATGTCTTAGTGACTTTCGCGTCCAGTGTTCTTAAGTGGTTCTGGTTTATATCGTATATCAGAAACGGCCATTTGAGACGTAATGTTAAGTATTTGTCGTAAATCCAAGCATTTTTTACGTTACTTATTGGCTGTTGGTCGACCTTGTCAATGTTTTTACGAAGTCATCGACTATTGCGTTCATAGATGGAGTACGACCTTTGTAGTCTATCTTTCTTCCAAGGAATTTAAAAGGCACGGTTTCTGATCGCTGCATTTTTTTTACAAAACAAGAACATGAATGTTCTTGTTTTGTAAAAAAAATGTTTTGACTGAACATGTCAATAACATTACTAAGTTTGTTTTTGACTTGTAACAATTGAACGCTTGATATACCACGTGGAATGGAATTTCTTAAAACCATAGAGGCTTTACAGAAGCGTAATTAGACGTACCTACATTCATTTGGCCAATTTATGCCTCAATTCAGAAAAAACCTAAGTTTTATAAGTATAGGTTACGCTCTCAATAGGTACCTATAAGTCAACGGTAACCCTGAGATGCTATTCATAGCTCAGTCGTAGTAGCTGAAAATGATCTTTTGGTCGGTTTTGTGTTTAATTTACTAATATGGGCAATAGTCGCTGAAATTACAATGTTAAGGAACCTGTAGCGACTAATACGCCAAAGATATATTTATATTTACAGCAAATTTTATAACTGCTTTATTAAAAAATATAGGTGCATACAGAATACTTACGATTCTCGTTTGTGCAAAGCTCGATGCCAAAATTTTTCAAATTTTGCCACAGACTCCTTAGAAACATTTTGAGGATTCAAAGGCCACAAATCATTTTCAGTTAAAGTTCTACGATATCCAGTTAACACTATGGGATCGAACCAACCAAATGTAAGACGGCTGGGGACGCCTGATGAATATTCTGGGGACTGTTTCTGTTGATTGTTGTTATATGATTAATTAGAAATAAATAACAGTATTCAATACGTAATGTCAATAAGGACTTTTTGGCGTTTGGTACAAAAACACTACATCATTGAAGAGATCGGCGATGTGGCTACGGCTATCACTGGTTATCACAAACACATATCCAAACCGCAGGAGATCATTTCGTTTAATTTGTAATATTTTTAAAATCAATGTTACTACTGACTACTACTATTGTTACCATATCAACATGTCTGTTTTGCACAATTAGTGAATAATCACGTTTTGTAAACAAAACTTAAAAAAAATTAAAAAAAATTGAGCGTTCAATACAAATAAATACATGGAAATCAAATAGTAAATCAATTAGAAGTTTGAAATAAAGCAATAGATTACCTCGTCATATGTATAGGGCGTGTCTTTAGGCGGTAAATCCGCGACACAATTCAACATAAACATTATTATAACAAGCAAATAGTAAAGGACGTAACTCGCAAGATTATATCGGACATACGCACTATCATTAACGTAATAGTTTATCGTCTCAGTTCTTAGTTGAGGCCATCCCATCACAATTAAAAGCATCCAAAACATAAACTGTACTCCTGAAGTACGTATGCCACACTTTCTATTGTAGTACATAAGCGTCGCTGATAACACCTGAAAAAAACTTTACCATTAGTCAAATACAATGTTGTGAATGGCTTAACTTACAACTAACACGATTTTAAGTAATAGTACATACAATGAGAAATTTTATCATTTCAAAACTGTTTTACTTTTATAAAAAGGTTATGACTTCATTGCGTTTGCCGTTTATCCTTCCATTGCGTTTGTAAGTTAGAGTAATTATACTTAGGAAGTGTAGAATTTGTGTTATAAACTTACAAAAAATATTGGACAAAGGCACTTTGTATGTACGTAAACCAAAGAACAGTGAATTCACCGTGACGTAAACATTATACGAGCGCGTGACATTGAATGATGGGTAGTTTTTAAGTTATAAAAAGGTTTAGGTTTTCTCATGTTGAGGCAGCAGATTTGCCAGAAAAGTTAAAAACTGTTGTACATGTACTGCCCGCTAATAAAGATCTTAAATCATTTCATCATCAATCAGTGGAGAAAGGACCTTCTAGGTAATGTCACAACTCACACGGTAATTCAGTTGGTAATCTTCGTACAAGTATATAACTTTTAGAGTAAACAAGATTATACTGGGAATTCAGTTTAGTTATACAGAAAAAAAAATTATGACATCACCAAGCAAAGTTTTAACAATTTATACATTTGAAAGCCTTATAGAAAGTCTTTAAATCGGTGTCTTATATGTGATATTAAATAGAAACCGCCTCTCCTCATTACAGGGGTCAATAAAAAATAGAACCATAGTTACATACATAACAATAATGATAACTATTATAACAATAGAACGCGTACGAACCAAAACGTCAGATCTGCCTGTGCCTGTTATTATGTGTATTTAGAGCTATTAGTCAAATCAACAATAATCATCAGTCACAGTATTATAACATAACTACACTACGTACAAGGCAGTCATTTAAATAAATCAGTCAGCAAATAATTCGGTCAAAAGTTTTTTTTTTTCAAAATCAAATGTTGATTGACCGTGAAACGTTAACGACGTCCATTTTGTAGGTAAAATATTTTTTAACAACCCAAGTTATTTAAAACTACTGAAAAAAACATTTTCTTTAAACACGAGAATTATTATAAACGGCGTACTTAAATATTTTTACACATGTACTCGTAAATGACGTCACTGTTATTAGAATCTGAATGAAATGATTTACCATAAAACTTATCGTAGGACGTAGGTATTATATATATTGAAAGCTGGCCCATTTGTGCTGAACCATGGCTCTCCCACGATGCACAACTGTGTATAACACACACATGACAACATAGTCACATTACCTACTTCAAAAGTCGTCAGTTAAACCACTTAATTTTTTTTTGTCGTCAATATTTAAATAGTAGTCCTTTCAAATTAAGTAGCTCCTACTTGAAAATAGTTTTGAATAATTATTGTTTACCTATTTCAATCAGTTCACTAATAAAAAGATATGTTAATTCAAAGAATCCTGTCAAACAATATCTATAAATCAATCAGTTGTTTTGGATGACACTGATTATGTATACGTGTATAAAAAGATGATTCAAAATTTATTTGAACGCGAGGGAAACCATTGGTAGCTTCTGATATAGATGTTTTCCGGTGTACCTAAGTGCAATATAGGTAAGCCAAATAAAAACGATTCAGCTTATGGGTTAGTAGTGTAGTTGGTTTATTTTTAGTAAATAACGATTTAGTGGTAGTAATATATTATAGTAATGCCTCGCTCGTAACATATAAAACTTTGACAATAGCTATAGTGATAAAATAAGATCATATAGAGGAACTTGCTGCAGCTCTGGAATGTCACACTGGATTTCGTGCCACAGAAACTTCAGCATAGCGTGAGTCTCGGCCGACTCTCAATGAATCCATATTGGGCTAATAAAAATAGTGAATGGAGTAAGGTGCAGTAATTCGAGGATCGAAAATATCATACCATGTCACACGTGAATGTAAATAAATAAACTCTAATATTTGGTATAAATTTGGTATAGAGAAATTTGGCACGGAGATAGTTTGATTTTTGAGGGATTTTTGAGAAGTACTATGTGTACTTCAGCAAAACCTACACAACAAAAACCAGTAATAAATATTTTCTTATTCTACGATGATTCAAATACGTTTTTCAATTGTCTACCGGTACGAAGAGGGCGCAGTCAATGACGTATTATCATAGCGCACAGTTACTTGAAGATACAGAACGAAGAACAGTCGAGCATCAAATAATCATGACACAAATTTAAACTATCACTGTATCTAATACTCGTGAGCAACAGCGAAGGCTAGAGATAAGGTAGTTAAACATGACGTTATAATAAAAGAAAAGTAAAATAAAATAATGCCTCAAGCAATATATCAAGTTTCTGTACTAGGTTAACTAGCTTTTTAACCGACTTCAAAAAAGGAGGAGGTTCTCAATTCCACTGTATTTTTTTATGTTAGTTACCTCAGAAATCTGTTATTTATGAACCGATTTGGAAAATTGTATTTGAAAGGGTATATCTATACTTCCTGTTCGATCCCATTCATATTTAAAGAAAAAATCATCCCTAAGGGTAAAAATTAAGGAATTAAATTGAAATTAAATATCATGACGATCGAGTGATCACATAACTAAGAGATAAGGCTTGAAAACAGAAACAAAACTTAATTTGACGTAAAAAAAAACAAAAAAATAAGGAAATGAATGCACAGACAAATACAATGGAAGTACTTACAAATGTCAGCAATTTTAAAAGTGGATCATTGTAATCTGCTCCAAAAATATTGGTTATCTTTTTGTATGATACATAAATAACTTTACAAATGTCGATTATTTGCAGTAGTATCAAAAGTAATGTAAACACGAGTTTACTAGTATTTAATTTATTCCGTGGTATGTTTTTCTCTTTACTAATACGCATTTGATATATTTCAAGCGCAGCTGCCAGCCATAAAAATCCACATGGTATCCATACAAGAACAGTCTTCTGGAAGCATGGGGTGACATCTGGACTATCTGTATTCCATGTAAGACTGGTATTCTGAAATATATATTATAAATGAGCTATATAGTTCACTAAGATTTAGTTATAGTTAATAATACACATAGGTACATTATAGAATAACTAATTTATCGATTATACAAAACAATCTGTTAGCAGATATTATTGAAATATATTGTTTTATATAAGTTATTTAATACCAATCTTGTTTTTTTTAAACAACATTATACATATCATCCTAAATATTTAGTATTTGACGTTGTATCATAACTGTTAATCAATACATTTATTGTACTAAATATTATGTATGTTTCCTTAACTTTCTATGTTGTGCTTAAGGCAGCGTAATATTTCGGTGAATACCTATATAATTATCATAAAAAAAAAAACAACATTCATAATTATTTTTATACTTGTTAAAACATACAATGTTGTACAAATTGTATATATTGATAATAATCAACTGTAAATCTGTGTCATACTTTCTAGCGGTGACATGGCAACGTAGGGAATTCAGACTCACATCAAAACAATGTATGAAAATGTACGAAATAGGGAATATGTGTTTTTTTTATTTCTAAAATTATACATTTACATATTTATAATAAAGAAAAAAAATTAGTCTTGAAAATAGTCATATAATTTTTCAAAGTGAAATTTAAAACATTGAATAAATTTGAGCTATTCAAAAACCACCATGTAGCTTTTGATGACGTCATTGGTAGTGTCCCGTGTTTGTTTACTATAGCGTTTCAGTTATTTCATACTTATTTTCAGTTTTAATTGCTATACGAATCATGGAAGAACTTAAAAAAACCTTCTGACAAGTATTGTATGGTAACAAAGTGCAAGAACACTATTATTAGTACACTCGATAAAGTGTTTTTTCGTATTCCATATAAGATAATGAGAAGGGATAATATGTCTCCATTATCGGTTGTATTTTGATTGTGAAGATCATTTTAACGTAAGTATGCTGTAGTTGTGCGTATAGCTTAGTGTGAATTAGCTATTAAGCAGTAGAAGATTCGATCTAAAACTAATCTAACTTAGTTTACAAAAGTTCATTAAAAAAATCTCTAAAGAGTTTGCATATTCCTATTGCGGTTTTACGAAATTTTGATGATTGATAATTTATTTTAGGTTAAGGAAGATCCAGTTAATTATATTGAATATGACATAATGAAACAGGTAGGAAAAAAATGTAATCTACGGTTAAAGAAAGAAGTTGTTTCTCATATATTTTTGCGTCAAAAACGGAATATGCCACCACCAGTTGAAAGAATGGCTGTAGTTAAAAGGCACAGACTGTCACTGGTAAATATAGCTATTTCAGAGCATACTATCAAAAGTAGTAATACTTATTTTAGAAATTGGTGGACCTTCTCACAGAAGTATCAGTACTTCCCATACAAATGTATGTGATATTAATCAAGCAGGGCATAGTTCTTCCCATATTGAAGTATTTTATGATCATCGAACAGAGCACATGCACATACATTTCTTATATTGAAGATTTTCAGAGTGACAAAGCTGTGCAAGTCAATACTAAACTGAAGTACAGAAGTAAAGGTGTCAATGTAAATGTAGGACTGTCACCACTACCTCTTTCATCACGCAATATCGGAACTTCACCAATAAAATATTCTGTCTTAAAAATAAATTGTTCGCTGATGACGCGGATGATAGAACTTCTATATCATCTTATTCTTCTGTAACATCCGCTGATTATGAACCAACTTTTTTATTTGAGTTAAGTCTAGTACAAGATGATTCAGAGGACGAGAAACATTTTAAAAATGTAATGTGTGGTAGCATGCTATTGAAAGAGCCAAAAATGTCGCTAGGATTAACTAAACAATCATATCATTTAATTAAACTTTTAATTGATAATATCCCACTTCCTACTATACATATATTATTAACCCTCAAGAAAATTAAATTAAATGGGTTCTTTAGCATAGTGGCATTACAATTTGGATATTCACTAAGTACTATTACTAGAGCCTTCTCTAAAAGTATACCGATTATATATCGGACGTGACGTGACCATTGACGTCACATTTTGATTCGACCAATGGTGACGCGTTTTGTAAATTTGAATTTTCCTCCCTTATTCTTCACTTTTTGTATAATATTTTCTGTGTTTAAACAATAACTAAATAAAAAAAATACTTTTTAAGTATAATGTAAAGACAATAAAGAATCTAGCAAAAAATATTTAAGACAAATTAAAATTTTATGCATATTCCCTATTGTACGCTCATTAAAAAAATTGACTACAAAGACACGAAAAAACAATGATCAAACAAAATGATACTTGCCAGAAGTGACAATTTATTTCACTATGTAGCAATAGAGTTTTTGACTTTCTTATAAATTAGAAACATTTTTTCATTACGTGAAGTGTACGTTCAGGTTTTGCATTTTAAGTAGTTTTAAGTAGTAAATTAGAAGCATTTTAAGTAGTTATACTCGTAAATAATTTTATATGGTAGTATAAAAACATTTTGATCAATTACATTCAAACGTGAAAATAATTAAATTACTTCTAATAATAAGTAAAGCGAGGTATAGTAGGCCAAAACTTCCTCCCTAAAGAGAGGCCTATGTCTAGCAGTGGACTATTAAAGTCTGTTCATGATGATGAGGTGTTGTATTTATTTATGTTTGTACTTGATCAAACCTCACATATTCCATTAAAATGTTTTTATACTATCATATAAAATTCCTTACGAGTACATATATACCTAAAATGTTTTAAAACCTGAACGTACACTTCTCGTTCATTTTTATGATTCATAAGAAAGTCGAAAACTCGATTGCTACATAGTGAAATAAATTGTCGCCGCTAGAAAGTCTGCTTCCTAGCGGTGACAATTTAATCATTGACTTCTATGAAGTTTTTGTAGTACCTTTTTTTTTAATGAACGTACAATTTCGTAATTTTTTTTGATGCGAGTGAATTTCGTACGATACCATGTCACCGCCAGTAAGTATGACACGTAAATCTAGTTAGATTAAGATAATGATTTTACTTTCTGGTAGTATTCTAGTATCCACACTATATTATCATGGTGACTCAGATAATAGTAACAATAAGAACATCGCATGTCTCACACACAACAGTCAAATCCCAAACTAGGCAGAGCCTGTGCTATGTTAATCAGACTTCTGATAAACATACTTAAAAGTTTCTAAATACATATTATGGATAAATTACACCAAGACAAGAAATGTGCCCTGGGTGGGAATCAACCCCACGATCACCGTCTTAGCAGTCTGTGTCACTAACCACTAGACCAGTAGGCCAGTAAAAATGAAATGATCATAGTAGTCTTAAATGAATGTTGTTTACATATTAAATATATTTTACTGATAAAAATTGTCTAAGAATATATTCTGCTGTTTTCATTTTGCTGTTTTTTTTAAATCCTGAAGGCAAAGTATCTCCGCCTCAGGTCATTGTGTCACAGTAGTGCTCTTTTGCCAATTCTAATTTTAACTTGCATTTTAACCTGCATTTTAACTTCTATTTATGGTCACATCCACATATTACATGGCTTCGAAGCTTACTCAACAAACACTCTATCAAATAAAAAGAAGATCTGAAGAATTCAAATATGATCATGGTCCATGAGATTAGCATGGTTAAACAAACAAGCAATCAAACATGATTGTAAACTTGTCCATTGTCTGTCTTGTAAAATATCTAAAAAGATTTACTTGCAGAAATAAATATCATTTATCATAAAACAGTACACAGTACTTTACAGTGCATCTGTTGCCGATAGTTTTTTTACATATGACATGCTATTTACAAAAATGTATAAGGAGGATTTTTGCATCAGATCTAGTTTATGAGTTTGGGGTGATTCCGGTCAAAAAAGAGAAATAAAGTATTTCCTAGGAAAAAAATTTTTTAGATTATACAATTCATTGGTTCCAAAAAAATTGCAGCACATTCTTATACATTAACTTTGCACTGTAGTTACCCCAATGTCTGTTGTCATCTACCAACTGTGTTTACATTTACACGTCTACCGTTTTAAGATGTCAGGAATATCTTTTATTGACTTAAGACCTTTTTGTAATAGGAAGTACCAGCAAATAAGACATATGTTCATACTAGTATTTGATCAAGGATTGGAGAATACTACTAGTAGTACATACACTCTTTTCTATGTGTATGGCAAACAAGCTGTTGAGTTTCTAATAATAAATATATAAATTTTGTTCCATTTTTAGAGTTTAAGTCAGTTAGATGATTTTGTAGTTTTCACCAAAAGGTTGGTGTTCTTAATTTACAACTACTTGTTGCCTTTCCGTAATCTTAAATATTCAATGAAAGATTTACAATTACAATGGAGAGCCCAAGACTTGTCATTTTTAGCCAAATATATCCCATAGTATAGTAAATAGGTATTTTCACAGCACTCTGATTCAGTTTTGCTATACACTTTTAACACATATTCTCCACATATGCTGCAAACATAATTTGGGTTGTTTAAACAACCTTTCCTTGAACCACTTTTGTCTTAAAAACTTATTAAATTAATCTTAACATGCTGAAACAATTACATTATTAACGAATACACATAAATGATGAAAGTCAAAAACTAAGGTAGATTTGAAAAATCATGTCATAAGTAAACAACAGACTAAAAGTTCAATTTTGTAAACTAGTTAAGTGATGACATAAAAATTAATCATATTACTAAAGGATACCGAGTTATTATTTCTACTTACTATTGCAGTATGGAGAAAAGAGAGTGATCCAAATAGACAAAAGTTATTTCTTTTGGTAGAAAATATCCATTTGATTAATATTTACTGCTGCTTAATACGTGTCACTAATAATTTCCGGCCTAGCGTTGCAGCGTACAACTTTTTTTTATTTACAATAGTAAAAAAGCAATACTTACAATGAAAACATTGAAAGAAAAACATTCCACAAGATATAGTTTCATAAAAAAATCTATTAATAAACTCTTGATTTAAGAACGAACTTACCCAAAACGTAGATCCACAAAAATTATCCATGTTTGACCTTGTGGTTAATATGAACAGAATCACCAAACTATTTCACTCAGTTGTAGAATAATTTAACGATTTTAAATTTTAGCGCACAAAAAGGCACCACCTGCACCAAATTACAGTACCTATTTGATTGACAAATTCACATTGATAAAAACCGCAAAGATAGTCAGTGTTACCATATTTTGGTAGAAATCCTTGGCTACCAATAGCATAAAGATATATATTCACCCATGTGCGGGCGGGATACAGCTGCCTGTAAGTGTTAGCAATACAGTAAACGAGAGATATGTTTTATAACACTGTTTTATATGACTTGTGAAAATATCTGACAAGATTTTCTTACAGAAATAAATATCATTTATCGGGCGGTTTTATTTGACGGGCCTGTTGGTCTAGTGATTAGTGACCCTGATTGCTAAGGCGGAGGTCGTGGGTTCGATTCCCACCCAGGACAAATAATTGTGATGAGCATGATCATTTGTCCTGGATGTAATTTTATCTATAATATGTATGATTTGTTTATTTATTATTATTGTTTATCAGAGCACAAACTCTGCCTAGTTTGAGATCCGACTGTCGTGTTTAAGATGTGTCAAGTTATTAATATTATCCACCTATCTGTAGTGATCTGTAGTATCTGTAGTCATTAAACGGACAGTGGTCAATTACCTACGAACATTGCCGTTGCTAAAGCAAATTTCTATTACTCCCCGTGAGCAACCTTTTCTTATCATTTTAGGACTTAATATTTTAATCATATCTTACATGTGCTTTATTTTTTAGTGTTATTTTATTAAACGTTACAACTTGTTTATTTCTATAAAAGTAAATCTTCCACCAGTAAAATATAAGTGTATTTCTATCGGTTAGAAATGATGAAGAATGCTTCTGAAGGTAAAAAAAAGTAATTTTAATGGTCTTTGTATGTTTTCTTTATTAGTTTGGTTCTTTATACTTAATTCGGTGTTTGTTATATTTAAAAAATAATTTCTATAGAATGATAAGACGATTAGAATTTTGTAGGTCTTATATATTTATTACTTTTTTTCTAAAAGTTTGAATTTCATTATTTGAGTTCAAAAAATATTTAGTGTACCTAATTGTGTATGGTAACTAAAAATTTGTGCATCCAACCATTGGGGAGTTATTCATTACGTTTGAATTTGTTTTTACAAACAGTATAAACAAATTCAAAACAACGTATGAAAAAATCTACACCTCTCTAGAAAAACGTTTTATATGAAATCTAGCAAATAGCCAAACGTTATCTCAGCGGCAACTGGAATATACATATGGACGCACAAATTTCATTTAAACCTAGACAATTACCTCAAGTCATTCACAAATTTTTGCCATTTTTTTTCTTCTGCGTCCATAGGATAAAAAAAGTGCCGCTGGGACAACGTTGTCACAGCGGAAACAATTTTTCGTGAATAACTCCCCAATGAATTTGATGGGATGCACAAGTTTTAACTTACCATACACAATTACACGACGTCATACACTAAATATCTCTTAAACTCAAATAATGAAATTAGAACTTTTTCTGCTGGGGCAACGCACACGGCAACCGCTCAGGGTCTCGCTTATGCTGCACTTGTGCAACAACCCAAATAGAAAAGTGAGTTTTTGGATTTCACGCCTTACGCCACTCGTTACTCACGCTCGATTTACACTAAGGGATTCCCTTTGACAGGCTTAATGCTTTTATGTTCGAGAAGCAGTTAGTATGTGTTGCGTTGCATTTGTTTGTTCCAAGTATCATCATCAAAACTAAATTCATAAAGACAAGGGCCTCGCAATGATCTAGGTACCTGCCCGCAACCCCGCAATGATATATCAGTCCGGGGCCACTCAATGGTCGACCGGAGGCACCGGTTGACCTGAAGTGATGCTGTGACCGCGCGGTCTCCGCCCTCTATCTCGAAAACGGTTCACCGTATAAAAAAAAATTTTAAACAAAATTTGTAGAGAATTTTGTATTCTATAATATTGATAATGAATACAAATAGCAGAAACCCATAGGAAATGAGATATTTCCAAAAAAAGCGCAATAAACCGATTTTTGTGACTTTTGACCTTGAAATTTAATAGTTGCTTACACCCTACCATATGTAGGTTTTGAGACAACTTTTAGGGTGTCAATATACAAGTATTTACAGACTTACAACTGGGTATCTCGAATTCCGAGGTGAACTTACTATAATGACTGGACTACAATGGCTAAACACGCCATTGATTATCTCAAGGATACTTTTTATTGATTGGATGATGGATGGATGGATTGATTATATCAAGGATTACTTACAGCTTTGATATAAATACTTTGGTCGAAGGCAACGCGCTTATGACCACTGAATTGATTCACGGGGGCGGTGGTCACTTTCCATTAGGTGACCTGTCTGTTCGTTTGCCTAAAAAATATATTTCTAACATTAACTTAATTAGGTACACATGAAGGTACCAACCGTTTTTTTCACAACCTCCATTACTGATTTGATTGATTACTGACTGGTTATAAGGCCAAATGTCACTTTCCTGCTTGTGAGACCACTCTCTGTATCCGATATTATTAAATAAATACCTACGAATTTACAAACTATAAAGAAAGTGATGTGTTTGCGATTCAAAAAGTGGAATTGGAAGTGACATTTTACCATAGACGAATATGACATACATCATTCGAATTCATTAGTTGCGTGAGAACGTGAGAACTAGAGATTGAACACCCACATTAATATTTTACATGCACACAGACGCAACGCGCATTAATAGTATACTCCCCTTTTATTTTTATTTTATTTTTTCCGTGCGGAAATCCCCTTGGATACCACCTATCGGTGGCATGTCGGACTCAAACCGACTAAAACCGCACGTTGGACACTGATCATCTGCTTTCGGCTTTCGTATAAGGTAGATATTCATCACCTCTTCCTCTTTGTAGATTGATTATGAATGCCACAAAAAACATGCAATGTATCGTAACGCATTGCGAATCTCGCATGCACATAATGTCTATGGCGCGGCGTAGTGCGTAGGCCCGTACTGGTCGGCGAGAAAGGATGTGGTTCAAGTGTACGCTTTGGGTATTATGTTAAAACTATTAGTTTTTATGGGCAACCTTAGAAATTGTCACGTCTATATTCTGTGTGATATTAGAAATTAGGGTTTCATAAATGATATTGTATGGTTATGAAACAACGCGTCTAGTAGAGTCGTTAGTCCAACTTTTGAAATAGTAGGAGGACGACCCCTGGTAAAGACCCGTAGTCCAACTAGTTGAACAGAGCACTGCCCTGTACCCGTATCATCAGTGGGACTAGTTTAATAATTGTTGTATCACTAGTACCTACCATTGATGGTACGAAGGATACAAAGCTATTTGATAATTACATTATATAAAACTATTTGTTTTTTTTTCACATGTATATAAAATAATACAACAATTATCGAATACAATCTTGAACTCTTAAGAATCGATATCCTTAATTTTTCTTTTTACTAGTGATACAAAGTTGGATCAATTTTACCATCAATGTTACCAAGTATATTCGTAGTAGTTTAGTAGTTTAGTGGCAATATTTGCTTACCGTTACGTACGCTTAATGTTTTCTAATGATAAGAACGTACACTGCTTATCACGAGCTTATATTTTTTTTGTATCGTTACACCACTGGTTAATTTGTTTTGAATACTGGTTCCTTCCCACTCCTCGTGCTATGATGTATTCATGTTGTTATTTACAACAAAGTCCATCATTCCGAACGTTAGATAATAAATAAGTATGAAGTTTCTGCATAGGTGCCTATTGAATGCCAATAATAACTTATTTTTACACTGTGAGGCAAATATAGCGGGAGCTAACTATGCTTCGACAGAAATGGGTCGGCTTGACCAGAGTGATAGCAAGGCATCACAGAAAATCGAAGGTGTGAAACAATTATTTCGTAGTTTTTCATGGAGAATGAGATTGCGAAGGTCCAACATCCCTTCCTAATTCTGGATGTAGTGAGAGCCGGCAGTGTACTTATCTCTTAAGTTGCAATTGTCCATGAACGGGAAAGTCACTTACCATCAGGTGACCAGACACCACTGGCTTGACCACTACACCACGAAAAATAAATGTATTTATTTATTTATCTCTTTATTGTACACCATGGAAGTATTATATATACAGATATTGAATACATTTCGGTATAACAATAGGCGGTTTTATCGCTCACGGCGATCTCTTACAGACTACCTTTATACAGATATTGTCAAAATAATAATTATTCGAGGGACAACTTATTCTCTAAGGGTATTTTCATATAAACAGAGGGTCGCAAAATTAGCAACGGGAAAGACAGCTATTTTAAAATAAGTCTTATTTGAAAGGAATCCAAATCACGTTTATCATATTTTTTAAGCCACCTTCTTAATATGTTAACTAATAATGACCACATTTGTTAGTTTCGATGGTGTCGGTGACAGTAAACATCGAGCGAATGTAACTTGTAGGTACAATGACGATAATAGAAGTTTTGGGAAAACAGCGCGGGTGATTTGTCGCAATTTCGGCAACATTATTTTCCATGAAACCGAATGCAAGGATTACATACAATCACAGAACAAATGAAGGAGTCCAATGAATTGAGAAAACAAGAATGAAGACAAAAGAAAAACTGTTTGAATTGAATACTGTATTTTTTAACATTAAAAAAAGTGTGTCGGTGCCGGCCGAGCTTAGTAAAGACCTGCGTTTAAAACCAAATCTTATAAATAAAAAACACGCCTAATTAAGAAATTGATCGTGATTTAGTTTACAAGACCAGCATCTTTGGCTAAACTATAAAACATCGAATTTTTATCCTGTAGCAGCTGTTCAGGGGATGCAAACTCAATGAGTTGACCCTTATCTAGCACCATGACCTTAGTGGAGTCCATGATGGTGTTTAGTCTATGAGCGATGGTGAGCACAGTGCACGATGCGAACTCGGAGCGTATGGTTTTCTGTAAAATGAATTGAGACTTGTGAGTAACATTAGTAACCGTTGAGCATGTGAAACATTTGGTACGAATACGAGTTTTAAAAGTAAAGCGAGGTGTATACGCTCGTACCTGAATGAGCTCGTCGGTCTTCAGGTCGATGGCGGCAGTGGCCTCGTCCAGCACGAGCAGTGGCGTCTTGCGCAGCAGCGCCCGCGCCAAGCACACGAGTTGCCGTTGTCCCACTGACAAGTTCTCACCGCCTTCAGTCACTTCGTGAAGCAAACCTGACTGCAAACCTGGAAATACACGCATGAGGTAACATATTCTCTATAAGTCCTAATTTTAACATATTATTCCTATATTTGCAGCCGTATCCAGATTCAAAAGATATATCATTATCACTTCTGCATATAATAATATAATCTAGTATTCTGTACTTACCAAGCACAAACGGTTTCAGATGGGCGTGCTCAAGCGCGCGCCATAGGTCGTCATCAGAGTGTTTTTGGAATGGATCCAGGTTCATTCGCAATGAACCTGAGAAGAGCACTGGATCCTGCGGGATGATGGTGATACGCGACCGCAGTTGGTGAAGGCCTATCGTGCTAATGTCAAGACCATCGATTAGGATGCGGCCTCCCGCCGGCTCGACGATCCTGCAGAGTTAAATGAGCTATGAGTGTACGTTTAAACATAGTAAGCACAGTGCGTGCTAGTGTAAGTACGTACCTGAACAGTCCAAGGGTAAGAGTGGATTTGCCCGCGCCGGTGCGCCCGACGATACCGAGTTTGTCTCCCGGCGCCACCGTGCATGTGACGTCACGCAAAGCGGGCTCGATTCCACTGCGATACGCCATGGTTAACCCCTGAAACTGTACTGTTCCAGTCTCTGGCCACGACGGCCGAGGGCCAGTGGGTTGCACCCATTCAGCTTCCTGTAAATTTTAGTAAAAACATCAACCACTATGAACGAAAAGTAATGCTTATCGTAAATCATTTCCTTACTTGCTCCGTTTCAGCGTACTCCTTCATGCGTTCCACAGCTACAATATCTGTTTCAAGTGATGATATCATTTGAACTAACCAACTTAAAGTTTGGGTGATCTAAAAAGCCAAAAAAATAAATGAAAATGATGTACCAGATGGGAAAAATATGAAGAGAAAGTTGTTTACCTCTAACGTGTAGCTAATAGAAAGTCCTGCGAGTCCTGCACTAATACTTTCTCGGCCGAGTACTGCAAATAATGCAGCAAAGAAAATAATAAGACTGCCGACTATCTCTAGTCGGATCCCAAGCCATCTATCTGCAATGGAACTCAGGTACGAAAACGATAGGTAATAATCAATCCTCTTCTGAGATTCTTTGATAAACCTGAAAATGATATATTAGTTATGGCAAGTTTAATTACCAAAAATTTGAGCTACTATCGCAAAGAATAGTCGTTCTCTAATAAATTATGCGAGTGATAAAAAGAATATCGTGACTTTAGACTCAACTTTAGAATAAAGTGCCAGTATTTTGAGATGGAATTAACTAATAATTGCTTGCCCTGTAAGTTTGTTCTTGTAAGTAGACTTTAGCTTGTAAGTCGTTAAAATTCGCATCCAAAATGATAATAACATTTATTTCAGATACAATCCACATTCAGTAATGAAGAATATTATAGAAATTCAAAATAACGTCAGTAGACACTAAAGAAAGACTATTGGAAACAGTTGATACTAACCTATTTTTAACACCAAAAGCACGAATAACGCTTGCACCCAAAATACTTTCGTTTAAATGTGAATAAATTGGCGAGCGTGCTATAGACTCAATCCTCATAAGCTGTCGTGACGTAGGAATGTAGAACCGTTGGATACCGTAGTAAAGTAGACCAATGGGAATTATCACAATCATGAACATCGGTGTTGAATAACTTATTACGAATATAGTTCCTATTACCTGGAGACAGAAAACAATTAGATAAATGTGAATGAGCCATGAATGTAATTAACCCAAATCTAAGAATGTTTGAGTGTACCAAAAACGTAGTAAGCTGTGAAAAATTCAAGAAAACAAAGGCTTGCAAAAAATTACAGCAGGTTGTCTGCAAAAATATTTCAACGTGTCTTCAAACTTAATTGGCTTTCTGTTTTTTTATATCTATGTATATAGTTTATAAATCAAATCTGGTTTTACGAGCTTGATTTTGGTAATCTATATTTATCCATTAGTTTTATCTTGCGTAATTATCCGTCGATTGGCGCGCAATACGAAATTCAAATAAATTTAATTTGAAATTCTGTCATTTAAAATTAAATTCAATTATAATTTGTTTTAGATGGTGTGTTGTTTTTGTGAAAATGTGATAGTTTTTGGCGCCATGGATAAACTGAAAATTCGTACAATTTCCGAATATGAGTTCCTACGTGGAAATACCTCTGCGCAAACAACAGGAAATATAAACGATGTGTACAGACCTAACAGGGCTTGCATAAACATGCTCCGTAAATCGTATCGGTAAATCGTTTTAGATCTGGAAATTTTAAGTTGAAGATCGAGCCTAGCGGTCGTCGTCAACGATGTATTGAAGCCAATAGCGGATCCAATTCAATCTACGGCTGAGCTTGCTGCGGGCTTTGGAGTTAGTCTCAAAACAACATTCAAGCACTAGCGTCAAATCAAAAAGATAAAAAAGCTAGATAAGTGGATGGCACACGAACTAAGCGACCATCGGCGAGACTTACACGTCGAAGCTTGCATAGTACTACTGAATCGGCATAGAAACCGGTCCCTGCGATTAAAAGTGGATCTTATAACGACAACCGTAAACGTTCGTCTCAGTGGGTGGACCAGGGTATCTAATCTGTCTAATTCAACACCACGACTGGTCAATTGCTCTTCCCCATTGCTTCTTTACGCACGAGCTCACATTTCACGACAGACCATCGCAAAGCTACAAGAGTTACAGATGGACGCTCTCTGTCACCCACCGTACTCAAGGGATCTCGCCTACCAGATTTTACCTATTTTTTTTAATTTTAACAATTTTTAAAGTGGGAAAAAATTTAACGCCCGAGGGGCTGTACAAAACGCCTTCGTGGACTTCATCGCCTCCCTTCAAGGAAATTTCTACAGTAAAATGGCAAACAAAGAGATAATTTGGGCCATTACTTTGACTGGCTAAAATAAAAACCACATAGGTAAAGACCTTGAATTTATTACATTAATAGTAAAACACAGTAGACTTACCTCAAATACACAGTTGAGCGAGTTAGAAAATTGCCAAGCAAGGGCATTATCTACAGAATCCACATCTTTTGAAAACCTTGAGAGAACTCTGCCAACAGGGGTCACTTCAAAGAATTGTAGCGGCGCTCTTAGTATATTATTCAATAATGTTTCATGTAAAATTTTTGCTGCTCTCCAGCAAGCCAAGTATGGTAGTAAATCCGAAAATAATGACATTATCGCTGCAAACAATTCATATTTTACATGAGTAGAGTAAAACAAACTTACTCATCTTCATCATTATCAACAGCCTTTAATAGTTCACTGATAGACATAGGTCTTCCTAATCCTTTCCTAATCCGTCACCACACGGATAAAGACGACTATTGGAATCTAATGTGGATTATTTTCAATCTCAGCAATAATCAGACTGATATGTTTATCTGTATGTACATACTCGTATGTACACGTTTAACATATAACTTATCTTTTATATGTATTTTATGCATGTATTTATTTTGCCTGATAAATATATACTTATTATATTATGATACATGAGGAAAACAAAACAAAAACAAATTGTTTATTCATCAATATTACTTGACGAATAAATATTTTGTTTTTTGACAAAAATTAAGTCACCTTACTTAGTAAGTAGATATTATTAAACACTTTTGTACACCGATTTATGCTATAAAGCTAGATCGTGCCGGTTTTTGTGCATGATTAGCCTTGATAACAAACACTTCAACAATCTCAAGTATTCGAGTTTATATAAACTCAAACTGTGTAAGTGCCATGTACACTGTACGCAATCGTCACTAATCGTGTAACCCATCTACATTATGGACATCTCCACGACTCTAAGCCATCAGCCATCGCAGTCAAAATATTTGGATAAGCTAATGAAATATTCAAAACTACCAGTTTTTTGTAAAAGATATACTAGAAAATGCTATCTCAAATAATACTTTTATTTGTTGTGTAATTAATCTATAATATGATTATTGTAATTATTCTATAATATGTATTTAGAAATATATAAGTTTGTTTATCAGCAGTCTGGTTACTTTAGCATAGGCGTTTTCAAGTTAGGAATCTGATGGGATCTGTGTGAGGTTATTGTTATTATTCACAAATATCATTAAGTACTACAAAATAACATGTAAAATTTACAAAAGAATACGGCTTGGTAGACTAACCTAGAGATTTTTTTGGAAAATTGTTATTTTAATGTAATCACAATTACATTTTTTTTTTTTTTTTTTTTTTTTTTTTTTTTTTTTTTTTAATAAAGACAACAAACATTAAAATAACAATTACTTTAATTGTTTCTCTGTGCTATGATGTGTTCGTAACAATATCTAAGATTAAAGGAAGATGGATGTAGTTCACTGTACTTACTGTTTATACTTACTTAAACATAGGATTATATATAGATTTATTATATTTTAATAACTACTTTTGTCAGTTTTTGTTATCTTGTAACAATTGAGTAATTATTTCTGTAGTGCAGGCTCTTGAATGTGTTAATATATTATTATTTTCTTCGTAACATAAAATATACATATAAACTACATTTTTTTAAACATTTATAATACATACAAAAAAACAGTATCACTCCGGGAGTGCCGACAGAAGTGAAAACTTGAACGTGCATTTTTTTTTATAATAGAAGGAAAAAAACGTATTATTCGATTCGAAAAGTTCCGACAGTATACGAGTATCTATGTTGTACGTATGTACACAATATATAAGCTATCACTCACTTGAGTACGGATCGGTGAATCTCGTTTAAAGTGACGTTCAATAATAAAATCTCTACTGATTTTTTTTAGATTAGTTAAGACTATATTCACGACTGAGACACGTTAAATACGGGCGTGAGACAGAAACCTCCTCACAATAAGTGCCGTATCGAGAACTACTGCTTTCTGCATCAGGTGCCTTAATCCACCTGCTTAAAGTCATGGGGAATGGTGATGTCAACAATCATTGCTTAGCGCTCTAATCGCTCCATTACAACTATATCAAGTTTATTGGCAACAATAGTCCTGTCAGTGATAATAGGGCGATCACTGTACAATGTTGCAGGACCCATTTTCAAGAACTGGGTTCGCCACATATCTGTAGTTCATTAGCTCCACGGGCACAAGGTTAAGAGCGAGATGCTGATGGACCATCCCGGCCACTTGGTTGTGCAAGTACTCGCCGTTTGTAAGACGCAAACGACCGGAGTTTATATGTCTGGAACTTTCTCCGGGACAACGAGATGCCGGACAAATGTCTATTGTTCCGTTCAAGATATATCTTCGATTGTTATTTGTTATTAATATCGACAATAAAAAATCAATGGTCTGTTACTTCAAGTTACAGATGTTCTCCGGTATAACTTGAACTACCTTAGTACACACTTTCCTAACCATGATGGATCAAAAAAAAAATTACAGTTAAATAACTGTAAATTATTTTTTTAGATCCATCCATTTTACAAAAAACAATTAGGTTTATATAATACATTTTTATATTACAACTTCGAAATATTACACTCTTCCACATTTTATAGGTGAGTTTAACAAATCACTTATTGTCATGGCGAGAAAAAAAGGAAATAATACTTAATGATTTTAATCGAAATCAAAATTTTTTTTATTTAGATGTAAGCTATATTTTTTTTCATCATCAACAGCCTTTACTAGTCCACTGCTGGACATAGGCCTCTCCTTCGAAAACAGGTTTTGGCCTACCATTTTTTTCTTCATATTAAATATTATTAATGATTGGTACCTTGCGCTAGTCCAAAGCCTCCGTATACTCCTAGGTACAAGTCTCGTAATTGAGTGTTTACTGTGCCGTTTACAAGCTGAGAAAATAAGTAAAAAAATTAAGCTTTTTAAAAAAAAAAGTGCATGCTATGCAAATATACATAAATACGTATATTTGCATAGTATGCATAATTAAATAATTAGATTCACTAAAACAAAATAACTCAGCAACCCATGTTTATTATGTACGTATTTTTTGTAAACGTCAAAACAAATTAAAAAAAACGATGAAATCTATCGATTTTCATTTAAGAGGTCTACGAGAATACTATTTTAAGCTCATACATACCATATTATCGTCATTTGACCAAAGGACGAGCCAAAAGTTGGCACCAATTTGTAGGGAATTTAACAATATATATATAATAACAGTTCCCACCGACGCATACAAGCCAACACTGGATAAATAATGTTGGTAAACCGCCCATTTCACCTGAAAAATAAAAAACATTATTACTTCTTGGTACAAACTAGGGAGACTTAAGCAGATACAAAAAATATATAAATCTATTACGATGACTATTTGCTTGCGTTATCAGAACGGTTTGGCATTGTATGCTGTGTAAACATTTATCTCGGGATATGGAAATGTCCGCGCCATTTCGAGCAAAAATAATTTACTTTTTAAAAAGTATCACCAACTTCAATGCGCCTATATCAACATTATCTTTATAAAACTGTATTCTACATTCCTTAATTTCCCTTCTTAGATATTTTTTCTTGAATTTGATAAGTTATAAACGGGATATTTGCCATGTTTATTTTACGGGAATCAATTTATAATCGAGATTTCGATACTGTTGCAAGCGCCATGATCTCGATGAACTGAGTAACTGCAGGTGGAAGTTTTATTTTTTTGAAGTGAAACTTTTTTAGAAGCGTTGTGATTTGAAACTCGATGAAGCGAAAATGCGTCACGATAAAGAAACAAACACATAAATGTATATGATTATGTGAGTCGGCGAGAGAATACATTACACAATATTTTTGATGTAATGTTTTGACAGTATGAATATTTTTATCGTTTTATTTACTACTAGCTACTACCCGCGACGGGGTTTTTCTGAGATAAAAAAGGTAGTAAAATGTTATAAAAATCGGTCTACCCGTTTAGAAGATTACCCGGCACAAACAGACCGACAAACAAAACTGGTTATTAGGCATAGGTACCGTGCAAATAACCGTGTGAGCAAGAAAAAATCTATTACTTTGACATTACAAACAGACACTTCAATTTTATTTATTTGTATAGAATTTTTTTTTTTTAGAAGTTTCACTTCTGCCGTGTGTGAATTACACACACACACTACTTTATTTTTAAGAGCAGACAAATCTGTCAATCCTCTTTCTAGTTCACTTACTAAGCCGTCAACATTAGTTTCACCACTGACACTGGTAAATATCCCATTTATAATAACTTATCAAGTGAAAATTACCATTGTATGTCATTGCTTGAATCAATACATTTTTTCGTGAAATATAATAGGGACCAAACGGAAAAATAACCGGAAGTATCAACAGGGAAACTTTTCCAAAAAAAAAAGGATTTGGAAACAAAGGTTCGTCAAAATTTATTCAATTTAAAATTATCTTTTAAAAACTATTGCACATCAAAATTTCAATATTAAAGTATACACACACAAATTGTATACAAATTTTAAATAAATTCAACTAGTGTTTAGCCCATAAAGGAAAAATTATCGCCATGTGTGTGTTTACACACTTAGTGTGTACACACATAGCGATATTTGTGTACGCATAAAGACTCGATAGCGACAGTTGCTAATTTTTCTATCATTTTGCCGCGAGACATTAAGTTATCTAGCCAAAATTTATGTCTATCCAGCATTAGGTGTAGGTATTAAGGATATATATTTATTATCCTGAATTCCTACACCTACCCAACTGTCTGGAACTATTGCACATCCATTTGCCACTCTTTCGAATAGAAGTTTAACAAATTTGCCCAGTTTTGTTGTTGACACAGTAATCTTATAATTTTGTTATTGATAAAAACTAGCAAATTATCATCAAATTGTACTTACTCTTCCTGTCTGGGCTATCTCCTCCTCAATAAGTGGATCAAAGTCTTTATCAACCTCTTTTTCGGTTTCTTTGCCTGATTTCTCTTCGATCACTTGATGATCACCTGTTAAAACATATTCAATGATTATTCCATTTTCCAAAAAAATCAAAGAAACAATCCAATCGCAATACAAAAAATCATAACATCACCCAAGTTTGAAACTAAAGATAGTAAAATTCGCTTTTTTTTTCTTTTTCCCGGTAAGTAGCATTTTGGTCGTGTCGTTTCCATCTTAAAAGTGCTATTTGTATTTTAAAACTGTAGCAAAGTATGTTAAAAGATCAGTATCTAATTCACACAATTACTAATTTACTTTTACATTACCTGCGCCAGTTGATTCAGATGTTTGAGAACGTCCACCAGAAGACAAAGAGCGGGCCCACTGCAATTTACTCTTGAATTCTGAGCCAAGTCTACTTTCAAGTTCAAGTTTGATGTCTTCCAAACCTAAAAAGTGGGAATGTCAGACAATTTCTTTATTTGACAACAGCAATATATTATTTTATTTAAAATATTATTACTTATAATATTATGTATTGGAATATAAAATAGGTGGTATAAAATTAGTTATTTCATCTGCATCGTTAAACATAACATCCTAAAGTACAGCCTGAATTGTCCTTCATTATCAATTTAAAGTTTTTATTGATTTGTTATCTTCGAATCTACATTAAACGTTAACGATTTGACAATAGCTAGGTATGACGTCACGCAATAATATTATACACAAAAATATACCCCTACCGCTTTAACGTGTACCTAATAAACAGATACTGATTTAACTTGGCAGACATCTACCCTATTTCCCAGAAAACCCATGTGCCATACGTCATTCGCGACAAAAAATTATATCAACGAGTTTAAGTACGATTTTCCTTTTGAAATGACGAAACTATGAACGTAAGTATTTTAATCCAAGCTGTGCTTCGTTTGGGATAGTCACGTGTAAAAATGTCCATCCATGTATTATTTTATTATTGACCAAATAAATGACTAAGTAGCCAAGGCGTTTTACTTTCAGGTCGTGCCTATTTAAATTTTAACTAAATTTGTCTGTCTGTCCGTATTTTCAACATTAATTTAACGAACTAATTGGAAGCGATTAATTACGTTATGGTATTCGAATTCTTCGTTTATGGGATAAATTACAATCCCAAATATTTAGTAATTCATTTCGACCTTCATAATTATTATCTTTTACCATTAAACCAATGATTAATAAAAATTAAGCAACTGTTCGTTTTTATCGCGTGCTCTCATCTTTTATTTAGAAGATAAGCTTTAAATAGTATGTGCATAGCGATTAGAATTGTGTGTTGTAGATATATTATTTGGTATAAGTAGATATTAGACATCGGAAACTAGTTATGATGTCCGGAATTCATACATTTGTTTAAAAAACATATCTATGAATTTAAATATAAATTACCTTCATCAGCTGCTAATCACAAATAAATATTTGGTAAAAACAAACTATTGTGAATGTACCCCAAATTTGGGAAAAGACATTAGTCTTTTCCCAAATTTGGGGTCGGCGCAATGAGTTTTTTCCTTTCTTCAAATAAATAAAATATAATTATTGCAAATAACTGAGCCTTCTGTATACCAACAAATAAGAAAACAATACTCAATCATTTATTGCGTTCCATAATGTACGTAAATGGTCTTCATCATCATCAGCCTATCGCAGTCCACTGCTGGCCATAGGCCTGTCCCATTGCACACCACTTAGATCCGATTTTGGGCTTCTCGCATCCAGCTCCTGCCAGCCATCTTGCGCAAATCGTCACTCCACCTGGCCTGTGGGCGTCCTACACTACGTTTGCCGAGACGCGGTCTCCATTCAAGAACTCGATTCTACGGCTAATATGGCCAGCTCTCTGCCATGAATGGTCTTAAAAATACAGAACCATTATGGACCTACGAGGGCTAACCAGTAATAACTTAATATTTATTTGTACGCACAACTAAAGTCTAAACAATAGGTTTCATGCTCACACGGTTTTTTGCACGTTGTTATGCCTAAAAAACAGTTTAAATTTTTCTGTTTGTCTGTCTGTTTGTTCGCGTAATCTCCTAAAAAGCTGTACTGATTTTGATAATATTTCACTACCAGGTAGCTGTCTATATAAGGAGTAACTTAGGCTTATTTTTCTTCTCTGAAAAATCCTATAAAATTATGCCCGGTTCGGGAATCAAAGGCAGTGATTTTAATCCCACTAAGGCAGTGCTTTTCAAATTCCACGCGATACCTGGTTCCCCGGCTATTAGTACCCGGCGAAGGCGTGCGGTTTTAGTCGGTTCGCGTCCGACATGCCACCGACAGGTGGTATCCGAGGGGATTTCCGCACGGAAAAAAAAAAAAAAAAAAAAAAAAAAAAAAGGTACCAGCTAGTATATATATATATATATATGTGCGTGTGTATCGACAGTATTTGCCCATACTCACCTTCAGCAGAGGACGATCCTTCAGCGGCACTCAAATGGTGCAGTAAGAAATCAGCAAAGGAACCTTTCTTGTCCAGAAGCTGTTGGTAGGTGCCAGATTCAGAAACTTCTCCGTCGTTCAGTACCAGCACCAGATCGGTTTGTGCCAAGTAAGAGATGTTATGAGTCACCCATACACGCGTTTTGTTCTTTAAAAGCCCTTTTGGTCCTATAACCTGTTAGTGAAAATAAATATGTAAGCTTTAAATACTATAATCTTTCTAATAATATCATTTTATTTATATTGAGCCTCTAGTCGCGTGTTTTATATTCGTCCCGTGGTTGGAGCTAAAAAGATTAAGGTTCAATTACTATTCAATATTTGCAAACAAAGTTTTGTATGAAAATTGTATAAGATTTGTTTTACCATAGTTACTAAAGATTATCGCATTACTAAGACTGTTCCTGGCAAGAAAAATAAAACATTTTTATGCCTACTTACGTCATCAAAAATTTGTTTCCCAACGTGGGAATCGACCGCGCTCAGAGGATCGTCCAGGAAGTAGTTGTCAGCGTCACAATATACCGCACGAGCCAGTGCTATTCGATGCTTTTGACCGCCTGACAGATTTATTCCTAAACAAAAAGTATAATTTAATGAAAACAGAATACCTTTCTTGCTAATATGAGCTGGCCTGTTGGTCTAGTGGTTAGTGATCCTGACTGTTACGCCGGAGTTCGTGGGTTCGATTTCCCACCCAGGACAAATAATTGTGTGATGAGCACAGTCATTTGTTCTGTGTCTGGGTGTACTTTATCTATATGTAAGTATATAGAAATATATAAGTATGTTTATCAGCAGTCTGGTTATCATAGAACAGGCTCTGCCTAGTTTGGAATCAGACGGCCTGCGTGAAATGTGTGTACATATTATTATAATATTATAAATATTAATATTCGAAACTAACGCATATCATCAGGATCTTACCTTTCTCACCGATTTCCGTCTGATCACCACCAGCAAGGATAGCCAAATCAGTCTTTAATGCACAAGCTTCAATAATTTGGCTATACTTAGTTTTATCTAATGGGTTTCCAAATAATATATTATTTTGAACAGTAGCGTTTTGTATCCACGCTTGCTGAGTAACGTATGATATATCGCCTGAAAAAGAAATAACATTTTGAACTACAAAGATTCAAACAATATATTTTTTCTGAGATAGGCTTAAAAGACTTGGTACCTACTAATTCACAATATCTCATGTTTTATATTTGGAGGTCACTTTAATATATTTTCTCATGCTGGTATATCTGCAGTCTACACGTTGTGTAACTTTTTTTACCGCGCGCCGGCTAGTATGATGCCACTCTTTACAAAAGTTTATTCCTCGACTATTATTTGCTCGACCTTGACAATTATATGACAAGTAGTCATATAATTGTCAAGGTCGAGCAAACCGCTAGACCTTGTCATTTCTCTAATAGCGGTTTTCTTGAAATATTGAGATTAATTGTTCCTTATTTGGTATTTCTTTTTAATTTAGGGTCATTAAAGTAGATTACGACAGCCTGATAAATATATTGCATTTTTAATTTTTGCTTAATTGACACAGTATTATATTGTTATTGCATAATGGTTGCAGCTCCTGTTCCAGAATTTAAAACTGACATAATTATTTGTGGCAGAGGGGTGTACATCTAAATTTTTTAAAGTATTTTGGTCAACTCCGCTCATTTTAATTGTAGTATAGTTGGTACTATATTACAATTAACAGAGTATAATAAACCACTAAAGCTCGTGCCTTAGTGGTTTATTATACTCTGTTAATTGCTTGGTTTTTTTTTTCTAAATTTATACAAATAAATAAAATTGAAGTGTTTGATTGTAATGTCAAAATAATAGTTTTTTTCATGCTCACACGGTTATTTCCACGATACCTGTGCCTAAAAGCCAGTTTAAATATTTATTGTCTGCCTGTCTGTTTGTCCCATGTAATTTTTAAAACTGGACCAATTATGATAATATTAACTACCAGGTGGCTGTCTCTGTAAGGAGTAACTTAGGCAATTTTTTGTGGGAGAGCAATGTTTCGGCACTTATGGACCAGGTCGATCGGAGTGATACCACAGTCTCACGGAAAACCGGCGTTAACCAATTTTTTCATTGATTTTCACCCAGTGAGGTTACCGGAGAGCTCTGGTACTGTAAGAAGATCTCCCGTTAATATGATACCTACCCTTAACATTAACCCGTCCTGAGAGTTTGTCCATCTCCCCGAGCAGCGCGGCGAGCAGCGAGCTCTTGCCGGAGCCGACGGCGCCCACCACGGCCACCAGCGCGCCGCGCGGGATTCGCACGTTTAAGTCTTTGAGCACCGGCTCCGCGTCTTCCCCGCCCCAAGTAAAAGTGCCATCTTCTATTAGGATCTGATACGCTACAGTTAAACATACAGTTACAGTGAGAATATTATTTTACTATACAATATCAAATGAAGTAATAATAGTTAGTAATAATAGTTAATAACAGGCTAGTCGGCTGCTTTTTTTCTTATGTGTGGTTTTAATATCAATCTCTAGCTTATGCTTGTTGGAATGGGAATTGTCTACACTTAAATTAATAATGTAAAAAAGGAGAACCACAGAACAAAGGATAAAGAAGAAATGCGATGTAGGCAGGCATGAGCGCCGAAGTTACGAGCAAGCAATGTATGTTTATCAGCAGTCTGGTTCAGGATCCCCCTAATTTACTGGTTCAGGATACCCCTAGTAGACTGCACGGATGACGCAGTAGTTTAAGCGGTTGCCACGTCGCTCACTACTACTCTGAGTGTTGTGGGTTCGATCCCCACATAGGACGACACTTTGTGTGATCTACAAATTGTTGTTCTGAGTCTGGGTGTTCTTTGTGTCCGTTTCATGTATGCTTGTAAAGTCACCCGCGACACAGGATATATTCCTAATGCGGGAGTTGTCTTTTTAAGAAGAAGAAGAAGAAGTAAGAAGAAGTTTGGGATCAGACTACCGTGTATGAGATATGTGAAGTTATTATTAGTATTTATTTATATTAATATTTGCAAAACATTTATTTATGATAGATTTTAGTACAGATCTACAATAAAATGTTTATAAATAGTAATCTACAATAGCAGAATATCAATCAAATAAATAATTTAGGTAGTGCTTTTTCGCTATAATATAGTATTATGACAAAAGTACTACATTACTACGGTCTCTTGCTGAACTGCCTCTAGAACAATACGGCTCGCGTGAAAAACTACCTTATTTAAAAAGTTATAAAGTTGTATTTAGTAACATTATAAGTGGCGTTTAAGATTTATATTCAATAAATCCTGTGGGACGAATTAGCATAGATTTCTTAATGTGTGTAAAATATTATTTATCGTTAATGTGTGCTTCTAGATGACAAAGGATTTCTTCGGATGTACCATCGATAGCACTTCTAAACATCCCTTTTATGGAGGAAAACGGCCAAAATGAGTAAGCTTAACTCAAAATTTCAGATTGTCGATCATAATAATGTCCTGTCAGATATAGAGTATTTGATACGACGTGACTTGACAATTTGGTGCCGAAAATATAGTTAAAAAAGATTAAAATTTGATAGGTAGGTATGTATGTTTCTTTACTTAAATGAATGTAGGTGTGTACCTAAGTACCTACTACAAAAGTTAAACAGGAAGTTTGAGGTATATTTTCGAAACAGTTTTTAATTTAGGACTTAGAACCTAAAACCTTATTTAATGCCAAATTAATATTTGGAATGAAAAAAAAAGACGTAATTTTTTTTTTTTTTTAAACTAACCGTCAAAACACTCGCATTTGTTGCCGATAAAATGGCAGTGCTTCAGTAGTGTTAGTAATTACATAGTTCATGGTATGATACCAACTGGCAGGTGTCAGCTAGCGCACGGGCCTCGGATGAAGCCACATGAGGGATCCAACCTTATAGAAGTGGCACTCGCAGCGGCATCGAGCCCTCGATGAGGTATCTGGGGCTGGTATTTGATGGCCGATGGGACTACGGACATCATTTCCGAGGTCTGGTCCCAAGTTGGTTGGAGCAGAGCGTGCATCGGCGCGGATGCTGCTCAACGTGAGGGGAACCGATGACTCCTGCAGGAGACTCTACCCGAGGATTGCGCGGTCCATGGCCCTTTATGGAGCCCCCGTACGGGCGGAGGCACTGAGGGCCAGCAACGTGGTACTACTGCGACAACTGCAACGAGTGCTGGCCATCAGGGTCATAAGGGAGTAGCGTACGATCTCCTTTTAGGCGGCGAGTCTCCAGGCCGAAACTCCACCGTGTGACCTGGACGCGAGAGGCCTTGCGGCTCTGTATCAGTAAGGAAAGGAGGCGCGGGAGTTTTGTCCGAGTCCTGAGTCTCGAGAAATCGAGGATCAGAAATACTAACTCCGCCCGGTCCTCGTGGAGGAGTGGAAGGAACGACTTGGGCAACCGAACGCGTGGCACCCTGTCATAGCGGCGCGGCAGTAAGACCCGTTATGGAGGATTGGCTCGTGAGGCATCACGGAACCCTCTCATACCGGTTGAAGCAGGTGATCACCGGGTAAGGATGCTTCGGAGATCACCTGTGTTTGATCCGCAAGGAGCCAACACCTGAGTGTCACCACTGCGGTGGCCGGACAACCGGCCCGTGGCGGGCAGAAATGAGCCTATACCGACTTCTTCTTGTGGGAACTGTCTGCTCACTCACTCATACTCCTCGAACCTCCTCCAACATATGTCGGGCCTGCACTGCCGTTAGTCTCGTATTCCGACAAACTTTAAGTTGTAGAAAACGGTCATCGCTCCTTGAAGTACACCTTTTCCTACCTTGTCCTCTCCTCCTCACTAGAGAATTCGTCAATCTGTACTGATGGATGCTACGATGAATCGTTGATAACGATCGACGAAGTCTTGTAGCAGTCGATCAGTAGGATTAACCATTTCTTCTCATTTCATCTGCCCTAATGATTTCTGATAGCGTTAAATCAGGCATACTTAGATGCTCGTAACTGACCAATATGCAAGAAAACACAAAAGCCTCATAATACAATACAATACAAGCCTGCAATACAATGTTTTTCAAATGAAATTTACGAACTTTACGAAAACCGATAATCAACTTCGAAGCAGTCGATGGAGATGTATGAATGAAAAATTAAAACAAACGAATGAAAAAATGACTGTCGACTATGTTCCGTTTTCAAATTAGACCTAAAATAAAAAAAAAGCGTAATGTAATCGATCAGTGTTACGAAAAATCTGTATTCCGCTGATTCTTGTATATTTGGTTACAAAGTGACATAAATTAGAGATTACTCTGACTTACGTTCTTTATGATTGTGTTCTATCATACTTGTGACTAACTCTTCAGAATTCAAAAAAATATTCAACCTCTTGATGCTGACATAAGTCTGTTAAAACAAAATAAAATCTTTCATCAAAGGATAACACAAAAAAAAATACTATTTGCAAATTCAGTAACCGACCTGTATAACATTGGATATGACGTGAGGCAACATTGACATAGGAAAACGAAGTATGTTGAAAAGAGACAACGCAACAAATGCTCTCTTCGAATCTAGAATTTCCGTGTCATTTACTAACACAAAACACGTGAAGGACATCAGCGATACCTGAAAACCCCACACTAACTTTATATAATTTTACTTGTATTTATCTTTATACACCGGGATAGACTATATTACTTATACTTGCCAGAAACGGTGTACAAAACCATACGAATGCGGACATTGAGCTTAAATAAGCCATCTTTCTTAATATTTTCATTTCCTTATTTCTGATTTCCAGTATGTACTCTTGAAAGCTTGGTTCCCAGGCATATATTTTAAGAACCTATCAAAAAATAAATATTAGTTTAATTTATTTTGTAAAAGAAATGACGGTTGTTAAAACTTTTGTATCTTACTTTTATGCCGTTTAGTACTTCGTTCATTAGTTTGATTCTTTGATCTTTGTAATTCATCAGTTTCGTCTGTAATTTCTCTTCTAAGCCAGCAAAGATTCCATTTAGTGGCATAAGTACGATTATAACACCGAGACCAGCCAAGACTGACGGCCCCAGCAGATTCCACAAGAAGTACAATGCCAATGATATTTGCAATGGTGCTGACCATATCAAATTTACAAATGTTAAATCGCTAAACCTGAGGTGAAAAAAATAAAAATTTAATGTTAGTTTTGAAGTATTATTTCGTTATAGCGCTGTTGGGCGTACTGCGCAATTGCCAGGCGGCATCACGTCCCGACCGGTGAACATGCTGTTCTTCATCATGTTATGCATGTTAATGTTTGCCTTTGAACTTCAAACACTAACATAGCTGAATTTATTCGTAGACAAGAGGTAATAGCTTTTGTCTCTCGTGTACGGTATTATATTATTATTGTAGTATTTATGTATTTTAAAAAGCGTACTCCTTGTGTTCGTAGGTTCGTAGTTACTTTCCTTCAGTTGACCCATCTGCCCGTTTGCCCCCTCTTTCATAAAAATAAACAAGCTTGGCTGAAATTCTTATTTTGTGTTTTAATTTTCTAAGGTATTTAAAAAGTCTAGTATCTAGCTCTATAGCCCTCTGGATACATAATCATAAAAAAGTTTCTATTCAACAACTAAATCCAATCCACAGAAGCCATATATGAGAATATCATGAGGTGACATGATATTTTATTTCATTTAATACTTTCTACAAATACATTGCATAAGGTGGACTTAATGTCATAGGCATATATAATATATACATACATATGTACAAAAAAATTGTGATAATAATATGTCACTTTTGAAAATAATTATTAATAAAGAAGGTAATTTATTTACCTTGTCACGTCTGTGGACATTAGGTTAATAATTTCCCCTGCTGTAGAACTCTTTTTAGCTTCGTTGGACAAGTTTAGGGCTTTCTTATATACCATGCTACTCAATGCAGAATTGATTTTCACGCCCACAATTGCTGTGCTTATGAAATATTGTCCCATGATCACAGTCTGTACGAAAGAACATAGAAACATACTCACAGCGTAGAGGTAGCCTCTCCATACAGGCTCGTTACCCTCTACGAAACCTATAAGTAATCTGAAAGGGTAAAATATTAGTAATGTATATATTAGACGCACTCAGTAGGATGCGATTAACTCAATAACTAAAAGAAAATTAAGAGAAAGTTCAACAAATATTATAATCTGATAACTTAGAAAAATCGTAAATTTTAATACATATTTTTAAGTACCAAATGGTTATTTAGCCCTAAGAGATATGTATTAACGACATTAACGGCTACGTCTCAGCGAATTACCATTTTTTCATTGTACATCTGTTCACATTTATAATAATAGTTGTATATTTTTTTAGGTTACTCCAAGACATGTTCAGTCTACCTGTACTAGGAGTACGCTTAATAACTTTTTTAATTATTTTTTTTATATGCCACTAACTAATACTATTCAAAAGACTAATTCGACAGGACTCCGACGCTTTGTGTAAGATAGACAATCCAAAAAAAAACTCTTGCATAAAAAATACTAAATAATGTACACAATAGTACTGCTGCAACAATATATTTAATATTATCAATATACGAGTTAAATAATCTAACATGTATTTTGAATATATCTACTTACAAAATGTTATTTTGCTTACCTAAGTAACTGTGGTGACGCAAACATCAGTAAATCGTTGCATAGCTTTAATACCATACTAACTAAGAACAGTCCGCCAAAAGCTTTGCAGACTACTGGAAATATAGAGACGGGTGTCTTCTTCTTATTTAGGTTTCCTAATGCAGAACTTCCGGCATTTTTTGATGCATTTGTTTTTCTAGAATTTTATTAAAGTGATTGGTTTGGTGTTTTAGGAAATTTGGTCTATTATAATTACTACTGTACAGTTAATAATAATAATAACCATCTTTATTTCATTATTTTTACATTCACACTAAGCAGAGCATATTATATAAGTATAGGTAATAACAGAGTTACCTTAGGTCGTAATATGGTCACAAATACCGGTCAGTTACAACGAACTCCTAAACTAGTGGACCAAGAGGCGGCCGCAAAATTTCCAGGGTATCTGTTATATTGATGAAAACGATCAGGAATGATGGTATTCACGTTAATAAAGAATAAGCGCCATGATTGCCTGGATTCCGTATGACCCTAGGAGTGTTCTAAATGGAGTGTTCTTCTCTGTGTAAAAAGTTCTACACCGATTGAGCCCTTGACACGATATCGTGTCAAAATTTGCGCATTTTTTTATAAGCAACCTTTTAGCGATACATACTTCTCTTTCAATTACATTTGATAAAAAAATATCGCAAGCTAATGGGCAAAAGACGCTTCTAGTTCGGTATCCTGTACTATTTTGTATTACGTTAAACTCTTAGTTGCGTTATATTGAATACAGAGCCAATGACCTACTTCCATTGTCACGGAATAAAACCAAGATATCAAATCGAAGGTAAGGTCACAACTTCCACTTTCATTTTATGATAATAAGTTTTGACAAGTGATTTGTTAGTGAAATCATTAAACAATAGTGTACTAACTTAGAGGATTCAAAATGTTGATGCGGTTTCGATTATTATTATCAAAAATTATCTAATATATATATATATAAATAATAAATGTAAATGACCCCGTGACTGTATATATATAATATACAGACATATTACATACATTTTGAAGAAGATGGAAGGAAAGAGAAATGTTTTGAACCTATGGATGGATTGGGATGGATAAGTGTAAGTAGAGTTGAACATCAGTCATTCAAAAATTAAATACTAGTATAAATTGATTAAAATAATTCGATTGCGACTGTCTGTGTATAATCTTAATTGCACTTAGCAACTTAATTATTTAGATTTAGCTTAATCGTGGTACTAACTATTAACAATTCGTCAAATTTTAATCTTTAATTATCAACACAATTAAATTTTACATAATACTAAGTGTATTTATTTATCTCTTAAGCAATGACTAGACCAGTTCTGGGTCGTATACCCGTTACTCGAACTGGTTGTCTGAAAATCCGAGACCTCTAACAATTTTTTTACCTACGGTATGTGCACGGACCACTGATAATGATTTGTTATACAACTATATTGTCAACTATCTCACGACTCGCCTGGTGGTAAATAGTACCCATGAGTGTAAAATGGGTAAACCGATGACGTCAGCCGTTGTCATCTCTATATCCTATGTGAAGCGGAGACGTTACTTAGAAACAGAAAGACAACACTGCACTGGTGGTTGTCGAACATTAATGTTTTGGTGAACAAGAGTGCTTCCATAGCCAGAAGGACATAATATGAAAGGAAATCTGCTGCGTACTTGATACATAATACGTTAAATACTACTAGATAAGTAACGTAATATGTGAAGATTTGTTTCTACACATTTTTAAGCAATTGCCGCTTGCTTAAAAATGAAAAACTGAAATTAATGCGCTATTGTACATTAATATTAGGTCCTTACATATGAAATTAGAGTTTTATCGTACTGACCACTTTGATCTGAAATATCTCCTCTTTGGTTTAGAATTCCAAATTCAAATTTATAAATTCATTTAGCTGGTACATTTGAGTTTTGAAAACAGTCATTCATTTGTTTTTTCCTCAGGTTTTTTCTTTGGCGTCGCTTATTACCGCACAATGGAAAACATGAAATTTCGGTATATTTACGAGTTCGAGTTCTACCGTGGCACCAGTGCTGCAGAAACAGCTCGAAGGATTAATGATGTGTACAGCACTGGTGTCGCAAAAGAAAGCACCGTACGTTTTTAGTTTCAACGTTTTCGTTCTGGAAATTTCGACCTTCAGAACCAACCCCGTGGACGGCCGGAGACCAAAGTGGAAAATGAAGAATTAAAGGCTATTGTGGAAGCGGATCCATCACAAAGCACTTCAGAGATAGCACTGCAGACTTCGGGGTAAGTGATAAAACTGTATTAATCCACTTGAAGCAAATCGGGAAAGTAAAAAAACTTGAACGATGGGTACCTCATGAATTGAGTGAATCGAACTTGCAAACACGCGTCGACTGCTGTGTTACTTTGCCCAACCGACACAATAATGAAGGGATTTTAAATCGAATCATTACTTGTGATAGAAAGGGATATGGCTGAACCCTGGAGACCCACCCAAATACTGCCCTAAACGAAAATTGAGTCAGAAAAAATTACTTGTGAGTGTTTGATGGACTAGCGCCGGTGTCGTTCACTATAGCTTTCTAAAATCTGGCCAAACGATTACGGCAGATATCTATTGTGAGCAGCTGCAAGCCATGAAGGAAGAACTATCTGCTAAACAACCGAGATTGGTCAATCGCTCTAGGCCACTGCTGCTTCACGACAACGCAAGACCACACACTGCACAACAAATTAATTAAATATATTTTACAAAAATAAAATTACTTTATATTCCACCCGTACAAAACGCCAATTTCATATGTAAGGACCTAATAATAAAAAACGGCTACAAGAATCTATATTCGTCTAGTAAGTGTGTATTATTTTATATACTGAAAGTCTATACAAGGACAGTATAAATTGTATTGGTCAATAATTGGAACGAATAGGTTAAAACTTAAATAATATAAAACAAAAATTTCAAAAATATCTAGGTTTTTTTAACCCAAGTATCAATGCCACAGATAAGATATACCCACGCCCTTATTATCGAATGAGTGTACGTAGAACAACAATAATACATTACAAGCGTTAAATTAGATTTTTATTTTCTACAAATCAAAATGTTTAACTCGACCCTAATAGGTATTACTCTCCGGTGTTATTTTACATTTACACAAAATAATATAAACATTTTTCCTTAAACAAGTACTTTACTGTTAGCTATCTAGTACAATAGCAACAATTAAAAAGGTCATAACAGTACTTGCTCAATTAATGTCAAAGTTCTGCATTTAATGTTTCAATTAGAATTGTTCAACAAAATCACAGTGAACTGTGAATGAACTGTGATTTATCACTCGATTTTTTCGTAAGTAGGTTATGGTTACTACTGACTCACGCATTGTTGCCAATAAGCTTAAGACGATGCATAAAGACCTATTTAGCCTATTTAACAGTAAATGTAGTAATTTTTTATTATATATAGCTACCATTCCCTACATAATAATTTAAAAAATACTAGATTTTCTGTTAAATAGCCTCTGAAAACTTATTGCAAAAACGCGTGAGTAAGTCGCAACCCTAACCTTTTTTTTCCAAGCCAACTCAAGCTTCGAGCCTAGGCAGAACGGCGCCGACAGCGCGTTGGCGCGCATTCTGCGGTTGCTCTAGTCGCGCGCGCCACTGCACCAGTACATGTCGGTGAGCGTTCCGCCGCATTTCAAGCTCGTCCTGGTCTTCCTCCCGCGGACCCCCTAGATTAGACAAGCCCGCCACCCCGTGAACTCGGGGGATCATCCACTCGAAATGCTCCTCGAAGCTCCAGCGGCTGTACAGGGTGAGGCAGAGGTATTTAATGTGCCGGCCGACCTCGACCTCAGTTCCCCCCACTCTAATAAGCGAGTGGGTAAGAACTGCACCTCTGCGTTACCTGTGCAACCACTAGGCTTCCATCTTATGAGGTGCTAAAGATCCTTTAACCTTAGTTCCACAGAAGGGGTCGTAAGACCGATCCCTGTGGAACCCCGCATATGACTTCCCTTCCCTTTGGCATTCTTCTCCGTCCCGACCCATATACGATATGGACCTGTCGCGGAGATAAACCCCGATGATGTCCGGCAAGTAGGGACAACTGTTGTTATACATGTGCCTCCGTAATTGCCCACCACGGGAGGGAGTTAAAGGCGTTGACTATGTCAAGACTGACAGCCAACGCCACGCCCCCCCGACAGACAACCTCTTCCGACAAGGAGCGGACGCGTTCGATCGCGTCGAGCGTCCCTATCGGAAAAGAAACGTCGGGGCCCACTCGAGACAGATGCTGGATGATACGGGCGGCAATAACTCTTTCAAAGAGTTTTGCCACCTCGTCAAGCAGGCATATTGGTCGGAACGCCGAGGAGGAATCTGCAGCCCTGCCAGGTTTTTGGATAAGTACCAGCCTGGCTTCCTTCCAGCCGGAAGGGAATACGCTATTACGGAGGCAGCTGTTAAACAGCCTCCTCAGCCTATTCCCTAGGACCACCAAAGCAACACTAACCTAAGTACGAAAAAATAGAATGATAAATTACAGTTTACTGTGATTTTGTCAAATGTCTAGTACCAAGTGCTTTTGTAATGTTGCCTGCGATTACTATATTAAAAGTACTAGATTATAGTTTTTCAAATAGATTTGTGATCAAGTATGATATAAAATGTTTCTTTTCGATTTGTAGTGCATGGTAGATACTAAAATAGTATTCATAGTAGGTATTAATTTTAATTCAACAATCGCGATACTTCATTCAGATAATGCGATAAGATTGTCTAGCAACTTGCTGCACTTGTTTTATGGGTTATCAAAACCGGATAACGATAACCGGCAACATTTTTTTAAATATTCTCAACAACTGGAAGAAGTTTATAGATTTTTAATATTACATAACCGAAGTTTCTCAATTCAGTTTTTTTCTTGCGATACTTCAAATTAGGGTTTGAAATGTAACGTCACAAAACTTAGGACCCCTTCCACCCATGTGACGTAATTTAAGATGGCCCTTAATGACATCATGTATACCGATAGGACCTTACAGAATAAAGCACTATCGGCTTTCACAACGTCAAAAATCAGTATAAGTACGAGTATGCATTGTATACGGAGCTTGTTATGTTTTGTTTGTTTTCATTTCTTGTCGTCGTTTTTGTCATTTTCGGTAACATGCCAAAAAAATAAGAAGACTGTCCAGCAGAACGCGGAAACAAGACAATGGCGCAAACTATTAACCTTCTTAAACGTTTAAAACGAATGACAAGTGCGTCGGATATATGGAGGAATGTACTGTCTCGAAACAATAAAACATGGTGTTTTCATTTACCGAAAATATTATCAATATCGAATTCAAACTTTTAGATATTTTAAAGTCAAAATAATACTGAAGGTAAGACTTATATTTAAGAGATTCATTCATTCATTCTTTCACAAAAATTTATAAGTATGTTTATCAGCAGTCTGGTTACCATAGCACAGGCTCTGCTTAGTTTGGGATCAAACGGCCGTGTGTGAGATGTGTGAGATATATTATCATTAAGTATGGAGATTTAATTTAAAAAACAAATTTAGAAGATACTCACGATTCTCTCTTCATCAAAGCTCGGTACCACAGTTTTTCAAATTTCGTAACACACTCCTTGGAAACATATTGAGGATTCAAAGGCCACAAATCATTCTCAGTTAAGGTTCTTCGGTATCCCGTAAAAGCTATTGGATCGAACCAGCTAAATGTGAGGCGGCTGGGTACGCCTGATGAAGTTTCCGGGGATAGCTTCTGTAGGGGTTATCATAAACATATTAAAATAGATTCACTTTTCATATTCGGTTCAATTTTTTCATTATATAATATATGAAATTTAGAACTAAAACATAAAAAGCCAAAGAAAGTTTTATTGTAAAATGTTTTTGCTCTTCTATGATAAGCTATTCTAAACTTTAGAACGGATCTAAAGATCGGATATTTCCAAAGTTTAGGTCATATTTCTTAATATACTGTAATTTAAGTGCAATAACTAAGTGTAGGACACATATATAAAATATTTAAATTTTATTTATACTGTGTAGGTATAGTTAAAACAAATACTGATACTAAACAAAAACTTGAAATTTTACGTTTTTATAGCTTTACAGACAAAGGGAATTGAACTTGATGTTTGCAAGCATTAAATATATACCTAAGCGTATTCAGTTTCATGTTTTATGAGTTTTGAATAAATAGAAAAAAAAAAACTACCTCATCATAATTGTAGGGTGTGACTCTAGGCGGTAAATCCGCAAAACAGTTCAATACAAACATAATCATAACGAGTATATAGTAGAGGATATAACTTGCTAAATTATATCTGACATACTCGTCGCTCGCTGCACTGTGGCTCATCACCTCAGTCCTCAACTGAGGTAAGCCAGCCAATATGAGAAGTAACCAGAACATAAAAAGTATTGGAGAAGTCCGTATGCCATACTTTCTATTGTAGGATAACAGAGTTGCTGATAATATCTGAAACAGACCTTGGCATTAATTATTATTATCATGCGAATAGCGATAAGGTAGTAAAGTGTAATAATTTCGGTTAGATAGATCGGACTTTCCGGCTATAACAAAACCGAGTTGCTGACATCCTCTGATCCACTCGTATAAGCAATATCCCTTTTCTAGATTCCCTCTCCTTAGGTAAAATTAGATATTAAATAATCTTTTCTTTCAATACACTCAAAATTTTCAGAGCCTAATTCTCGACAATAAGCTTAACTCCTAATATGTCAATGGGTCACTAAATTTATTTTTATAGTCGTCATATTATGTCAAACGTCAAGGCTCCCAAATCTCCGCCTCTCCCTACCCCTTCGTGAATAGTTATCGCATACAACATAATATTGAAAAAAAATTAGTATGGAACTTGATTAGTACACATAGTACGTGGTATGGTAGAATACGTTCTTATTTTGTAAATACATAGGCATAGAAACGCCCACGCTTATCCGAGCGTATTGAAATACAATATTAACGCAGTTTGAAGTTCAGCTAGTATAGAAGAAATATTTTAAAAGAAAAACAATAAAAAGATACTGGTCTACAAAATCTCGATAGTTTTTTCCTATTTGTACATACATAATTTTAGATGACACGATTCTTAACCATAAATACGAGTGAAACGCCCAGCGAAGTGTAAAATAAAATGTCATAGGTATTACAAAATTTATGAAAATCGTAAATGTTCAACAATGAAAACATGACTAATTTCGGCAGTTACTCATCCGCAATAACCTTCTGCTTCGGTTGCTATCTGTACGTTTGTTTTTTATCGCAAACTGTGACTACTTATCATTATGATTGTTATATTTTTAAATCTGTTTGACCATTTTGGAGATTTACGAGATTGTAAAAAAGTGCTGCTTTTTACTTTATTTCTATCTTTATTTATAGCCTTATAATTTTCTCCTTCATTTATAGGCACACTTTTGCAGTTCGTGAAGATTTAGTCAGTTCGAGACGAACACACTGATCTTTTGAAAATCCCGTGGGGGTTTCTAAAAGTGTATTCGTTATTGATTGTAAATATTTCTTCCAATTGTTTAACAATATGCGTGTAATTTTAACACGGGCACGCCGTTATTGCGGCGGTAAGACCCGTCATGAAGGATCGGCTCGAGAGGCATCATACCGGCTGACGCAGGTGATGACCAGGAAAGGATGCTTTGGGGATCACACACATTTTATTTTACACGTCACTGATCCGCAAGGAACTGACGCTTGAGTGTTACCACTACGGTGGCCGAACCTTGGACACGGCGTTCCACACGCTAGTAGAATGCCCTGCGTGGGTTGAGCAGAGGCGTGACCTCGTGGTGGCCGTCGGCGTGGGAATTTTCTCGCTTAGTACCATGATTGCGGTCATGGTACGGACCTGAAACGCTTGGAACTCTGCCGTCCCCTTCTGTTATATATACATTTCTTTGCCTTATTGTGGGCGTTTCTATGCCTGTATATTTAAAGAATTAGATAATAAAGTTTCATTTTTTATTAATAAATAGAAATGTCGTGGCCTTATCATAGAACTGGTCACTAATTCATGCATCATGCGGTCGACTATTTCATAAAATGTTCGTATTGCATGATATGGCAGGCTAAATCTGACCATATTTACGATAATGTTGGGCATTAATTGTAAATAAAAGTCACTTATACAGTTATAGCTTTATTAAGTGTTGATTTTACTACACGTTTATTTGCAAATCATTATTCGCTTTCAAAAGAAATGTCGCTATGTGACATCACGACAAAAAAACGATATTAAGCGCCTACATTGTAACTATCATACGCTATTTTAATGAATGATTCATTGATTATCACGAAAGTAGTCGTGCATTTATCTGTTCATATCGCCAAACGTGGATTACTCATAGATATTACTACAACTTTACTACAAACTATACCCAGTGTCTAATAATATGTCTATCAAGTTCAATACACTATGGCAATCAGGATATCTTTGAATCTCATATCATTATTCACGTAACATCATGCGTTGCTATGAATTACATGGTGTATAAATATATCCATATATCTAAACTAGCTTTTGGCCGGGCTTCGCTCGCGTAAATGTCAATTTCGTCAATAAATAGTATAATATAATCTGTCTATGTGCCAAATCTCGCTCAGATCTGGAAAGCCGTTTTGGCGTAACAAACATACTTACGTTTTGAAAAGATAAAAAGATTTGTGTCTAATTTTTTTTTTATAAAGAATAATAATTGTACTGAGAGTTTGGAATCGATAAGTTAAAAAAATATAGTTCCCCATTCTAATTTGCATCCCTTTTTAAGTTTAAAAAAAATAGTAATAACGTTTTTATTACTTTTTATAAAGTATATTTACTTTGAGTTTAAAAACGCTACTATAAAAAAAAAATAGTTTTAAAAAACTAAAAAACACGCTTTCTATAGGTAAACAAAACTAGAAAATAGAAAATAAATTTGAAAAAAAGCGTTGGGTGCCTGTTGTCAATAGTAAAAAGCACCCCAGCATTTTAAAACTATATTTTTTTTATTTTTTATTTTAAATTAGTGTATTGTCATCGGTCCTCGATATATCTACAAAGTTTGAACGAATTCTGACCGTTTAAAGTCAGTCAAAATCACGCCCAAAGGAGTCGGTTACAAACATACAAACAAACATACAAGTGAAGCTAATATAATTTCATATGAAATGAAATTACATTTATTTCAGCAAGTAAATCTTTTCAGATATTTTTACAAGTCCAGGCCTATGTCCAGCAGTGGACTGCGATAGGCTGATGATGATGATGATTTTTACAAGTCGGAAATCCCCATGTTGCACCCTTATTGGTAGAATTTAAAAAATCCTTTTTTAGTACACACAATGAATATTTGTGCAAAATTTAATGTGTCTAGGCCCTGCGGTCTCAGTTGTGCGTTGATCGATCAGTCAGTGAATCAGTCTCTCAGTTTCTTTGTTTATATACAGGGTTACTGGGTAAGACAACCTAAATACTTTAAGGGGTTGTAGTAGCCATCATTTCTGATAGATTTCGCTATGGAATACTATATCTCAAACCCAACCATTTTCAAGATTTTGGGCTTTTAAGATTTTATAAAAATTGCCGAAATTTTGCCTAATATTTTTTTTTTATAACTTATATCCTTTATCTTATGTTTTTTTTAACTGTTTTGTGTAGTTTGTACATTGTTTTATAATTTCTACTACTAAAATTTTAGTTAACTTAACCGATTGGGCCAAAGTAGATGGTTGAAAATAGCAAAATTTAACAAAAAAACTATTTTTTTTCTTATACGTTTTTTTTTAAATGTACGTTACAGATATGTTACAAACATGTACGTATTGTCAGCTATCTAACAAGATATAATAGTCAAATATAATATCTTGAAAATTGTTGGGTTTGGGATATGGTATTTCACAGTGAAATACATCAGAAACGATGGCAATTACAACCCCTTAAGGCTTAAAGTATTTAGGTCGACTTACCACGTAACCCTATATATAAGGTAGATTTGCCTCACTTAGTTTTGGTAGTTGTCACGTCAGTGACGTTACAAAGAAAATCGAAATATGGTTGTTTGCCTTTCCTTACGTTGAACCGAACTTAGGTTTTAACCCCGTTCGTTTTAGCGGGGTCATGGCCATACGTTCGGCCCAAAGTAATCAATAACTATTTATTGATCAACAAATTCAGACTGATAAAGTCCTTCTTAAATATTGCTTTTGTCTTGTTAGACATATTATTGGACACTGGGTAAAGTTTAGCTGTGTTTATCAGCAGTCTGGTTACCTGCACAGGCTCTGTCTAGTTTGGGATGAGACCGCCGTATGTGAGATGTGTGAGGCTAGTTTTTTTATTAGTTATGCCAATTATATTAGGGCTGAGCAGGATTCTATGAAATCTTGTGAACAATGAATTTTGACATCAGATCCAAGATATCTAGGCTTGAACTACATAGGTTAAAAAAAGATTTCCCCCAAAGGAAAATCAAATATAGCTAATATATTTTACGTGTCACCCAACTATACAAGTGACGCGATGACGTCAACCACTTGCTTATTACTTTCATCTGATGTAATAAACACAAATGTCAGGTCTTTATATGTATTTTTTTTGCTGTTACGTTTTCGGCAATCATCATGATATTTCGCTTAGGTACAAGTTGTCAGGGCTACTTAACAAGATAAATGACAAATCTACGTCTTATTCCCGAGGGATTGAAAAATATAATTAACATACTTAAGCGAATTTGCAGGTAAAACCAGTAAGTAATATTTATTTTGTCCTAAATGAACGGGTCTGATTTTATTGGTCAGGCTGTTACTGTCACACTCCCGCCCGTTATCTCACTACTGCCCGATACGGAAACTTATGGCTGCTTGGTTTCCCCCCTGGTTTGATTAATTTCCAACTTTGCAATATCGGCTCGAAAAATTAGCAAAATCAGTTGGATGAGTTTTTTCAAGGAGACTGGCGCATGCTGTTTGAATAGAAATAATGATAATCTAATTTCTATGGGAAGGCCTTGGTCACACGGATTTACGAACTAGAGATGAAATGTTTGGCCTGATCACGAATAGTCGGATATTCAACCGCAATATTCTCGGTTACAAAAATAGATAAAGATAGAACTGCGCAAAATATTTCAGATTTACATGCGTGGATGCCTGATTAGAAAATCATTTCAATTCCTAAGTCAGTCTGACTATTAGATTTAAGACACACTAGGGATAGTTCTTAAAGCTGGATGAGCTTGACTCACGCAATTGCTCTAATTAGATAGAAAATGAACACATAAAAATTCTCCACTACATACCATATCAAGCTACTGGAAGCTGTCAAATTTACATATTTCTGTTTGTGTCAAAAAAAGATAATTATCTTAGGTATAATTGTGTCGCTTTATATATAGATTTTTGGTTCCGTTAGTTTATTAAAATTTAAATGAAAGGTAGGCGCAGCCCTGTATGTGTAATAG